AAAAATGGAACTATTTTGAATCTGTGTTCCCATGAACAAATAATATAAAAAGCACTCTAATTCAATATGATACATTGTTGTATGTTTCAATATTGAATAAGATAAACAAAATATAAACATACATACTCACACACACACACAAGATTAGGAGAGTTACATTATTTTCCCTCTATTTCCATTGCATAAATTCTTCACAAAGAAAACAACAACTTTATAGCATATGTTCAGCTTTATCATCTTCATAGGCTAGCATTTGAAATAAGATGCACATATTAATTTCAAATACATTTCAAAAGAGTACTGCAAATGTACCAGCTAGAACACATACTATGTTATTACAGTTGTCATGATTGTTGGTTTCAGAACTGATAGCATTGTGCAACAAATGTTGACAACAGGACTTATTGAAAGTTGAGGTTGCTTGTGTATATGCAAACAGGTAGTGCATGATTTAATGTTGAGAATGATGGATCAAGGTTTATAAAATTTGGTTTGAATACTTAGTTAGGAATGCACTGACAATTTCTCTGTCACATGTACATGAACAGGTTGTGAAGCTGTAGCCTTCACCTTGACTGAATGAAATTGACCTTAAAACTGTCTTGAACAATTGATGTATGAAATTTAGAAATGAAGTTTCAAGAAATATGGTTGAAAACTTAAGAAATAATTGCTTTCATTGACATTGATACAATCTTGTGTGCTATCCCTCTCATATATCACACAAGATTTAATATCAAATGTTGGACACAGTAAAATCGAGCGAAGTTAACAAATATCAAGTTACATATTATAACTTTTATTTTATTTTATTGATATTGATCATAAGCATTGTTAAAAGTACAATGTATACCAGGGATCTTACATTTCTTTTACTACTTAACATTTGCGTTGACTTTTAATTCATTGGACAAAAACTAAAAGGAAGCCATGACCAGTATTTCTATCTTTAAAAACATACTTTTAATTTTTTTTCCAATTTGCTCCCACCACCCATAGTGTTATATTGATCAAAACAAACGTTGTTTCCAACATTTGTGCCCTTAGTCAGTAGTGGGTGTTCAATCACATTCATCAGGGTTTCAGCATCAAGTAGGGGCTGTTCAATCACATTCATCAGGCTTTCAGCATCAATATTCACAGATTCAATCTGTTCCAAGTAAAGATCACTGACTTCTCCATTAAGGAAAAGTTTGCGAGGAAAGCATTTGAACTACATTTGAACTATTCGCTGATGGAAGGATCTGTGGACTCGGCTTTCATGTGTCTGAGAGAAAATGATTTAGTCAGAGGTTCCTCCTCTATAAAGTAACTGACAGATTTCAAAATGTCATGTCACTGTTGGTATAGTTCTTGCAGCCTTTTGAAAAAGTTCATGAAGTCCTCAAAGGTATGAGAGAGTTGGTACAGTTCCTATTTCTCATCCTCCTTTCTCCCATCAATAACCATCCCTGTCTGTTGTAATATTGATTGCTTTCCCCCCCTAAAATAGAACATAGTTACCATATAATTTCTGCACCAGCAATAATGTTTAGAGATGATATTCAAACAAATAGGAGGCATAGCAATATGAGCTTGTATAGTGAGAAATAAGGCATTAAAGCTGAGGAGTTCATTAAAATGTTTCAAAAACATTTCAATAAGTCAATCTCTTTGGTAGCAGAACTAAATATAAACAAAATGTACATTAAATTCAACTTATAACAGCACATCATATGGGGGCTTAAGACATCTAATTCCTTAGGTGGTAAAACATGTGTACATAAAAAGGTACCAGTAAAAACAAAACAAAATTAGTTTAAACACACGCACTTAGATATTCACGGTTTTCATTAATACAAAAGATGAAGCAGAACATCACTCTCCCCTGGTTGTTTCCATAAAGAAGAAATTAACCAGGAAACATGGAGATGTCCATTGCACTCCTTTATTTTGCTTACAATGTGCAAATGTGCCTACTATGTGCTAATAAGCTTTCCATGTTATGGTTTTGTTTTTTATGTGCTGTATGCAAATGTTCTAAATGTGCTTAAATTACCATGTGCTGATGTGCTTACCGTGTTCAATGTGCCTATTAAGTGCTTTCCAAGTGATAAACTCTTTTTCTGAGCTTACAGTATACTACATGTACATACATGTTTTTATTTTATTTTTCCATGTTGTAATATTTTGGTCTCTGTTATTATACTCATGTTTTGTCTTTGTAGCTTATGTTGTATGTTTTGCAAAATGGACGTAAAATATATATTTTTGTATCTTGTACGTGCTCAAGGATTTTATCTGTAGTTTTTGGGACTATATATAGAAAAACTTTACCCCAGTATGAGGAATTGTTTTACACATTTATCATAAAACAAGTTATGTTCAGATTTCAGACAGAAGATACTCTAAAATTGTACAACTCAGAAAAGGTTGAAAAATATTTATAGTTCATTTTTTTCTGCTTAGAAATATTTAATCTCTAAATTACAAATGATAACTGTTTTAACAGGTCTAGTTTCCGAATTGGAAACCAAACCCTGTCTGACCTATAAATGATCATTATATAAGGCCAATTAAAAGTTTAAAACAAATAATGTGTTTATGCTAACCTCACAGATACTGGACACACTAATAGTAATATGATGTGTATAAACTATGATATATTATACACACTATACTTATTGGTGTGTTCGACACCAGTGTGGTTAACCAGACTTATCTCAGATTTGTGTTCCTACAATACCCTTAAGTTTTTATATGCGCTGTTAAAGTCAGAACTCCTGCTCTATATATTAGCGCAGTAAAGATATTTTTCAAATAAAAAATAAAATGCCTAGCTAATACATACCTACCCTATTTTTTTCTGATAGTAGAAACACAAGTAATTTGTTTGGCCTAATGTTTCTGTCATTTCATAATATTTAGAACTACTATACTTGTTTAAGTTTCCAAAACATCAAGTAGTATAACAATTGAAACTTCAATGACAGCCAACATCACAATGAATCTAATAATACAATGTTTATAACATGTTTTTTTTTAACTGAATGAGAAGAAATGTAAGGCCAAATATCCTCACAAACAACGCTTAAGTGAAATCAGTTTGCAACTAAGCAGTTCGAAAATTTTGCAACACGTCTGGAGAAAGACGTTCCTCGTGACGCTGTAATTCACTAGAGTAAAACGTCCGTTTATTATGTTTGTTTTTGCATAATAACTGCTATACATACCGTAGAAGCACCTTCCTTTTTGTCATCGCCGCTGACAACATGCGCCATTCTCTGCGGCTTCGGCCGCATGCTTGGCCACAAGTCACCGAAATCGGGATACATAGCCTTATTTATGAATCAGTAGTAGGTAAACGTTGCAGAAGTGTATGTATATTGTTCATTGTCAATGCTGCTTAAACAACATGCCTAACATTAAGTTAACACTCGCCTGCATTTTCGTCTTTTCCGCTTCGCATTGCGAATGATGTCTAGGCCTACACAAAACGAAAGTAAAATGTGCGCATGTCTAAATGTAAGGGAGATCACTCGTGTTTTCCTGTAGTATATGTCTGAAATCATTCCGGAGGTGTTGTTGTTTTTGTGTATATTGAAATAAAAGAGTCCTGTTATATGGTAATACTTCAATAAACGAAAAACACAAATCACACAAACAGACATATAAAATGTAGGCCTATCGGCGCATATTTTTCGTTTCTGGCTGAGCTGTAATTAGCGAGAAGGCGATATAAAAATGCAATAGCATATCTTATGATGAAAATAGAACAAAATGATAATACTGCGAAGGTAAAAAAAAAAAGCCTTCAGGTTAGAATACCAATATGGAACGAGAGAAGGACAGTGGCTAGTACTAATATGATTCCGGGTCTCATCTGCCCCGGCCGGGCGATCCCATTTTAGTTAAGCAAGCCTGGTGTGAATCACACGGAGGCGATTTTAGAATTCTGCCCTATATGTCGTTAAATTATCAAGTTTACGTAACAAGTGCAAGCGAAATCTTAATTGACTGCCATGTTGGAAACTTCGTCTATCTTTCCGATATAGGCCAGACGTCTAAATATGGGTGTCATGACCAAATATGGAAATTGTAGTAAACATGACCGCATCAGTAGAAATACTTTATTTGGCCGTGAAGGCCATATAAGGAAACGGATAACATCACGCGTGATCTAACATGGCCGTCGTTTCTGTTTTTAGAGTTTTTAGTAAGGATTTGTTATTTCAACGATGAACGAATATGCAATATTTTGATAACATTATAATCATATGAAGCGTTAATCATATATATTATTACTGATTAGCACTTTTGATTTTCCTCAGTTAGCTGGAACAGGACTGCTTCATAGCTCTGACCACGCAATATATAAATGTAAACAGGGATGTAAATGTCACCAATTTTAGCCAATCACAGGACAATATTTCCATATAAAGGGTTAATCCAGCGACAGTTCCAAGAGTAAATACGAAGTTTTAGAAGGATACTTAGTTCTAACTAAGAATAAGATTATATACAATGACGTGTGAGTGAACTCGAGTCCGTGGTAATGGATTTTATTTGCAGTTTGTTTAGTATAGGTGACATTATGTCTCGTTTATGAATATCTGAGCTCATTAACTGAAGTATTTTTACCGGAAGTTGCGTGTAGCTACATGACCTACAGTCAAGTAGCAGTTCCCGATTGAGATAAACAGGGTGCATTTTCAATAAGAATACGACGTTGAGATAAGATCATATGTTCTACAAAGGAAAGGAATGATATTTACAAGCCATTCAAGTGCATTTCAGTCCAAAGTTACGAATAATAAAGACAGTAGGTCCGGTATATGATTCAATTTATTACCAGTGAGTACCGCTAGAGGCCGTCTGTGTGAAAACGACATTTATGAATATCTTGAGCTCATTAGCTAAAGTAATACCAATAGCTGGCGGCTAACGCCTTAGCTAAAAATTGAACATCATTTAAAGATGTAAGATGTTTATCATTGATCCTCTACCAATGTCAAACTTAGGCTGTAAGATCATCATCACAATATCAACTAGACATATGTTTGTCATAAAGTAATTTACTTGATACACTGTAAGTGCAATCTGAGTCGACCAATCCATTTGAATTAGGAGTGCATTCCATGCATTAGGACTCAAGGTTAATTTGTTGTACACACCAATAATCATGATCAGTGTACTCTCGCGAGTTTAACATAGAGTTATAGGATACAAAAACGTAGGTTACCAAATCTACATGGCGTCCACATTCAGATAGTACCCCTAATGTGGAAGACATACATATTTTGTGGTTCAACTTCTCCATCAGTATTATATCCTCAATTATATTCTACTTACCTGAGAAACAAGAGAACACTCTTGGTTATCTACAGCAGCTCCCCAGTCCAGATCTGCCATGGCTGATGTCAGATGAAAACGTCTGTCAATAAAAGCTAAAGGAATAATGTTTTTTGAGAGAAGGTAGTTTTCTACCTTATTTTCTCCTATATATATACTACTAATCTCTAACTTGCCAACCTTTTGAAAATTCCATGGGGAGCTTGAGATTCCCCATTCTCAAAATTATAAACATAAATAGAATGTATTTATAAACCCCTAGGGAAAAAAGAACACCTTAAAAGTTTTTTTTTAATTCAGTTGAAATCATTAGATCTTAACATATATAGGAGTTGGAAATATTAAAATTAAGGATCCAAATTTCGGAGTCTCCCTCCTAAATAAGGAGAGTTGACAGGTGTCACGTGCACGTGCACCTGGAGGTGTAATAATGCTAGAATTAGTTTATCAAATAGTCCACTCATTGGCAAGAAAGTGTTCGGTAAATAATTAAAACTGAAATTAATGCCACAAATTAACCCACAAATAAATCAAATTTGTTTTCAAAACAGCACAATATCCTTTATAGAGAAATAGACAATTAAATCATTATAAAATGATTTTGGAAATTTAAAATAAACAATTGCTTGACAAGTGTACATCTTTCTGAAATTGTGAATCAACATTTTTTAAACTTTAACCCAGTCACATGACCCTATCATGGTTGCTATTGATAGATTAACTGATTAAAGCTTTTCTTGCTTATGATAGTCACAGTTTCAAGCATACACATTTGGTTACAAATTTAAGATTCCCAAATGAAATTATTTTATTATCAAATTGTCCATGGTTCAGTTTACAAAAACGATATGTTGTATGGATTTTGTTACCTTGTCAGAAGAAATTCAATATCTGTTTGGGAAAGTGGAAGTTATATTATTCGTTTGGGAAGGATATCAGGCAAAGTCTGGTTTAAACCGGACTATGTTGCAAAAGACCGGCAATAATGTTGTGCTGCATGCGCAATATGTCAACAAATTATAAAATGTTTCTTTCCATATATACTTTATCAGTAAAATTTGATTTTCAAAGCTTATAGTTACTACTAAACTGTCCTACGTTATTTAGAGACCTTACAAACAATGACAAGAAGCCAGCTGTGATTCAGCATCTTATTTGAAAGAGAAAGAAAAAAGACAATGAAATATATATATATATATATATATATATAACGTTTTAGGCCCAATAGTAATATACAACTAACAAGTTAAAATCGGTACAAAAATTAACTATTTTGCGTAGTATTTAACTCCTCCCATACTCATTGTGTGTTGCCTTTAAAATATTGTGTTCAAACCAAAAGTAAGATGCTTCTGCTGACAGCCGCTCGGAAGACTTTGTAAACAGATCTGCAGATTAACTAAAGAACGACACGTCCAGGATAACGTGTTCTTATGAACGTACCAATTAGTGAATACACGCAGTTTGAAAGTTTCGTCTTATGTGTTCGAGATGTTGAAATATCAACCGATTTAAATTTAGAACTTACCAATTATTTTCCCTTTCAGTTCCAATAATAAGCATGGACGAATATTGTTAGATCTAGTCCTATTTTCGTACTTTCTCGTTTCGCGTACTTACAATTGATTGAAAAAATAATATTTTCATATTCATGTCTATTGTAGAAAAACATATATAGCCAACCAAATGTTATTGACTTGAAAAAGTCACAAAAGAAGATTGTTCATTAATCAAAATGCGAAACTAAAGTTGTACTAAATCCAATCTCAATCAATTGAATGTTTTATTTAATCGTGGTTTTATTTAGGACGATTCAAGGTTAATTTCGACCTTGAAGTTCGTTGTGAGAGCATAGATAATGACAATTCGCGTTAAAAAATGTTAAAATTAAGACTTTTACTCGCGATAATACTGTTTGGAAACATTTCAACGGGACAAGAAGATGAAGACCTGTATCAGACTCTGGGTGTGAAGAGAACTGCATCCCTAAAAGAAATCAAGCAAGCTTACAAGGCACAAGCGCGAGAATGGTAAGCTGAGATGTGAGATGATGTCTGAGACTGATGATCGATTGAGATTACGGGCTAGGGTGCGATGATGCCGATCCTTCAATTATTTTGCATTTGCTGCTACCACTGGCTGTGTCTCACTTTTCAATATCTTTTTATTTCTTGCAAAGTCTGCTATGTCGCTCTAAAAGCGTTGGGTTGGAAACACAATTATCAGATTATGAAATAGACAATGTCCACTGATGCCATTAATCTGTGGCGCCCATCTCCGACTGATTCCTCACATATGGTTTCTTACAGGAAGATCCATGTTCTACTGTTTTAATTACATTCTGTACAATAAAGGTTAACATTACAACATCATAAGCAGTTTGTTCCTCAAAATCTGTGGAAGCAGTTTAATGATTGCTTAATTGAGTAAAAACCGGTTGGACAGTACCCATTTGAGTAACAATTTTATTACTGAAATGGGGAATAAAGTGAAATGAAAACACATAAATTCCTTTTAAACATTATGAACAAAAAAGGGCATCAGTCTTTCAACATGTTTCAATAAAACAGATTGGGCACAATGACGCATATGGGTAATAATATTAATCCTGCATTTGGGTAACAGTTACACATTTGCAGTAACAATTTTATTACTGAGATGGGGAATAAAATGAAATAAAAACACAACTTGAGAATAAAATGAAATAAAAACACAGCATTTTATTCCCCATCTCGGTAATAAAATTGTTACTGTAAATGGGTAACTATTACCCAAATGCAGGATTATTACACATAAGTGCCGTTGTGCCCAACCTGTAAAAGATAAAATGAGATGCAGTTGTGCACAATAAAATGTTAATTCAGTTGTCTAAATCTTTGTGTAAAAAAATGACCAATTGAATCACCTACCATTGCTTAAAGTGTTTTGTAGAGTTGCTATAAATAGCACACAAGTCATGCTCACCTGTCACATTTGCACTGGATGATCCCATTGACTACACACTACTAAAGTCAATGGAGAACAAAATCAGTGATATGGTTTGTCATTTTCACCAAAAGTTAGACATCAGAATTGATAACATTTTGTGAACAAATGTATTATAGTGTTATATATATATATTGGATTCAGTTGAAAGAATAACGCCCTTTTTGGCTCCAAGTTTTTAAAAGAACTTTATGTGTTTTTATTTCACTTTATTACCCATTTCAGTAATAAAATTGTTACTCAAATGGGCTCTGTTCCCCAAATGCAGGATTATTACGTAATACCCATATGAACAATGTTATGTGGGAAAACAATGTGGGTTACTAGCCTAAGTCTTTAATTTCAATTTACTGTTTCCATGTGTATCCCTTTATTGGAATTGCCATCCTAGTGTAACTAAAGGTACGGTAAGGCTATTCTATCGGCATATGTAGCAGCTATCACCGGTGCAGTCTATTTGTTTAACTGCATGGGTGTTAACTTTTGAGACGACCAAATTTTGGGGAGTTATGGGAAAAGGTTCCGAGGTCACTGCGCATACGTCATAGATTAAGCCAATCAGAATGGTTGTCCGATACATGTTACATAGGACCAGGAGGCTGGGGTATATAAGGGAATGCACTGGTAAAACACGGGGACTTGCATTATATACCAGGAGGGGAAAACCTCTCCACCGAGGCGCTGAAAACAGTGCTACCGATGTACTGTAAACAGTATATATACACCCACACTAGGGTAAGGTTAAAGCTTGTCAGCTGAACGTTTATTTGTCAGTGTTCTGGGAGGGGTTAGTTTTCATCGTTATACTTAAAGAATAGTTAAAATTACCTATAGGCCTTATTTTACCACATTGGGCTAATATATATAGGTTCACTGCTACACTCCATTATTTTCTATATATTGCAGTGGGATTTGTTCTGTACTGTGGTCTGTATACTGTTATTAATGTACGTATTGTTTGCCATGTTTTAACGGCTAGCTTAGCCGTGGGATATTATGTAAACATTAGTTAACTTAAAAACAAGGTGTGGATTGGTTTATAACTCGGATACTCCTCCACATCTGACGGACTTGTATACCTTTGACTGTAAACAGATGCAGCGGGACATTCCTGGGGATTGCCGGGGGTCAGTTTGTAGGTAGTTTTGGGAAAACCTAAATTATTATACGATCGCTTTCATCTACCGACACTGGACAGACTCTCCCCACGGATGTCCTATTACAGTAAATAATGACCATTTGATTGTTGAAACAGTTTATTGAAAATATTGTTGATTTTGTCTGATGAGTGCCATTCGAACACACAATTGTTGTGCATATACGCACAGGCTTAAATATCAGATAATAAAAAATTACCTGTACAGGTACTCTAAAATATACATGTCAGAGTGTTTATAGAATCCGGTGTATATAGGGACCCATTCTCAATTGAAAAATGACCCTGAATTTTCCCAATTTCAGCTGAATCTTTATTTTCCCAATTTCAGTCTTTATTTTCCCAATTGGATTAAAAGAGTGTTTATGTAAGTTTCCAGTCATGATATGTGCAATGTTCAAAGTATTACCATCCATACATACATACATACATATGACTTGCTACCTAGCCCGTCAAACCTACACACCTGGAGACTGAGGGACAATGCAGCATGTGGACTGTGCAGACGACCCGCCAATTTGGCGCATGTGCTATCATCTTGCATGGTCGCACTTACAGATGGCAGGAACACATGGCACCATGACCAGGTCCTCAAGGAAATAGCAGAGAGCCACGACAATGCCAGAAGGACGAAAAGAGCAGTGATGAAGGGACCAAAGTTTGTCAACTTTGTGAAGGCAGGAACCAAAGGGGAGAGCAGCTCGGAGGGAGGCGGGATACTCGCAACAGCAATGAGGGCAGACATCCATCAGAGGATGGGTTTCCCAGCCGAGGTGGCTGCAACACCACTCCGCCCAGACATTGTGTTGTTTTCCTGGAACTCCAATTGCAAGCAGGTCATGATGGTAGAATTGACGGTTCCATGGGAGGACAGGATAGAGGAGGCACATGAGCGGAAGAGGACGAAGTACCAGCAACTTGTATAGGACTGCCAACAATGAGGTTGGAAGGTATGGTGCCTGCCAGTAGAGGTTTGTTGCAGGAGTTTCCCTGGCTAATCTCTATGGAGGACATTGAGGTTGCTGGGGATACTAGGGATAGAGCGGAAGAAGCTTGTGGGTGCTGTGAGCAGACAGGCAGAGATGGTATCCAACTGGATATGGATGCAGAGAGAAGAGCCTTGGGGTGGATACCAACAGTGGTGCTAGTCACACGGTGCCACAACACAGGACATGGCAAGACTTGATGGACGATGCAGGAGGCTGCAGCAACAACATGGCCGCAAGCTGCAATTCCAACCAGCAGCAGAGAGAGCCGACCTGTCCCTGGCTGGGTCTGATCAACCCAGTCGGTGCACCTCTGGAGGACGACGTGGAAAAGTGCCGAAACGTCTTACGAAGGAGGACCATCCACCTGATGATGGATCTTGCCAGCATTGGTATATATTCCTATGTATTCCAGGTATAAATAAATAAATTTGAAATTGAATAAACAAAACACTGAAAATTGATAGTTATGTATTGCTATACATTTTACTGAAAGAAACAGGTAGAGGAAAATTTTTGCTTATCACATTGTAGATTTAATTTTTTCCAAACTTATGATATTTTTCCAATCCTGTAGGGGATCACTGATCACTGATGATGCTTGCCAAATGTCGATGATATCTTCCAAATTCCTGCTCAGAGGCCCTTTCCCATAATAGCTGGCAAAAACCCTGCATGTAGGGGGCTATTATTGAAAAAACAGTAAGAAAGTGGTTCAAATGTCCAGAATGATGACATGTACATCGGGGCTGTTTTCGTTGAAACGGTTGAACCGGTCAGACCACAGTTGTTCGTTTATTAACTATGGTCGGACCTAGTAATCTAATGCTGCTTTCAGGCAAGCCTTGACAAAGCCTTGTAAGGCCTGCATTAAAATTGGCAGGTCCGCCAGGATTTATACCTGAAATTGTTACATTTACAAATGGAAAAAACGGTTGTTCCGCATAAACGAACAAGCCCCAATATTTCTGTTGAATAAGGCCAAATAAAAGAAACTTACGTTTCCACTAACCCTCCAACTCTAGATTTTTACGCCTACCCATTTTTTTATCAGCATTTAGTGATATGCACTACTGTTTAAGTCAGAAGTCCTGTTCTATATAAGAATAGTAAAAATATTTTCAATAATAAAAAAATGCCTTCCAACCTACCCTATTTTTTCTGAGGACGAAAGTAGAAACACAAGTATTTTTTGGCCTAAGCACAAAGTCAACAAGACTGACTGATTGTGAAAAAAACATGCAAAGCTGGTATGATTTTACCTTTACCCAGGCTCTCACTCAGATCTGGCTGAATGACTCGTGCTCAGTATATATGGTTCAATTTTAAGTTAGTGTAACAATCCATGTCAAATCTAATTTCCAAGAAGAGTGAGGTGGCGTGTACAATTAATATACAGAGGGTACTATAACCTAAATTTTGAAAATCGTTCACTGCTGATAGTGAATACAGGTATTGCAGTTTTTCAATACACCTAGCACACAAATTACTAGATAAGTCAGTGGTCATTTGCACACCACAGATTTTCATTTGAAAGTTTTCACTGATTGTATTTTCTTTTCTTGCAGGCATCCGGATAAAAACAAGGATCCCAATGCCGCCGATGTTTTCACTAGAATAAATGAAGCATATGAGGTATAGTCTGAAATTTAGCTTTTGCACCAGTCCATATATAAACACTGTTGCTGTCTCAGTGGTCAAATATGATGGATGTAGTAGTATTAGATGATAGGGGATTGACACACAAACACATCATGATTTTGTACCACTGACTACATTTTTATTCAGCCAACATTCTAATTTAATAAACAATGATGCTTTACATTATTTTTGGATAAATATCATAATATATAAATTAATGGTGAGTTATCTCCCTTGGACCATTAGCAACTACAGCTAACTTTAATTCATGCACATCAGTGTCCCAGTAGATGCAGATTCTATACCCTAAAAATGAAAGTGAATTAGTTTGATTAAATTCATTGTTCATGTACTACTGCAATTTTTTGTATGAAAGTAACATTAAAATTCCATTGAAAGGAATTAATTTTATAATAAAGATAGTTATTAAGATAAATCATCATATGAAACCTTTCTTCAAAATTAATAGAATTGGCTTCAGAGGCTAATTCAATTTAATGAACATTTCGTAGAAGTATCATCAGAAATTATAGTGGTGAAGGTAAATCTTCAACACTTTCATGACTGTAGACCATAATGGACCTATTCAGATCAATATATGGTAGAGTCTACTAAAGTAGTATGGGGATGGAATGAACAATTATAATTTGACTGGATCAAAATTGTGCATTTTAACAAGGTCACAGTATTTAATGTCTTGTTTCTGATTGGTTTTCATTTTCAAAACAGTTTAATATATTTCCAAAGAAATGAACATTTACAAATTATCACTGTATTTGGTATATATGGTTGTACATAATTAGTGTCCAGTCCATGCTGGTATCTGTACTAGGCTGGTTTCTCATTGGTTGATGGTTTCTGGACATATTAGATGTAACTACTTACATATTAGCACATCACATTGGACTTCAATTGCATTAGATAACTTGTTTTTGAAGACGTTGAGTGACGAGGAGAAGAGACGACAGTATGACAGATTTGGGTACACCACTGCACGAGAACCTCAAAGACAGCAAGGCTTCCACCAAGGCGGTGGACCTTTCGAAGGATTTGGAAATTTTTTCAGAAGTTCTGGATTCCATTTTGGAGGAGGGGAATCAATCATCGATAAATATACTGTCACACACAGGTAGGGTATATAACATGTTGTCAATTACATGTATATATAGATCCAAGGGTAGAGCCAACGCCGTTTCTTTAATTGATGTTTTGTTGGTTCCTGAATCCATTGCCTGGATACCAGCCAGTATGCAGGGCGATTGATCAGGAATAGGGACAAACTAATTAGAAGAGTAGTCAATCGCAACAAGCTCAGGATAAGTTGATTTTCTTTTATTTATTACTGTTGACCGATTTCTCCCTTATAGTGGGATTCTTCAGGTACTAACTTATCCCAAGCTTGCTGCGATTGACTACTATTCTTAAATGTATATATATACAGCTGAAAGGTAACCATATTCATGACAAATTAACGTGTATATATATATATATGCTATAAGTCAAAAATGTAGTACTGAATCTGAAAACTTCAACAAAATTTCTTTTCACTTCATTTGCAACCTTTCTTACTTAAAACATTTACCAATTTAAAGTCTTTTTTTGCAACTCCTTGATAAATTAACTAAAACCATGTTACTTTTGTTACTTTTTATAATTTACAAAAACTTTTACTGGACAAATGATGATGGCAGCATATAACAAACCATAGTTTTTATTTATCACTGATGAAGAATTTGGTCTAGTGTATACTTTTGTTGCCAAGTGAACATGTTTTAGTGGAAAATTAATTTGAAAGTTAATTAATTTAATAATTAACTGTTTGCATGATTTTGAAAATTGAAAGAAAGAAAAAAAATTGAAGTAATTAGCGGTTAGTATTGACTAATGTAATACATCAATACTTGCATTTTACCTTCATTTTCTTGTTTACATTTAGTTGGTACTTAATCATATGAAGTGCAGCACTACTGCATGAATTTATATCATTATTCTTGCCCAACAAGTAATAGTACTTTTATCTGTTACAGAATGTATGAGACGAAGATCCTCCCCGAGAGCTACAATAGACCCTACTTCCTCTATGCATATGCAGATTTCTGTTTTGAGTGTTCAAGAATTGATCACCACATCGAAAAATTCATCAAAGAGCTTGACCTTGTTGGTAGGTGGTTAACATGTATAATTGTCATATCGCTTTCATTTTTGTTTCCAAACTACAAATCACTTACAATGTACAGACAATATTTTCATTGAATTTCAGTGACTAAAATGTATTTGTTTCCAAAATATTTACCCAACAATATGTACCTCTTTTTTTCCTTAACACTGTTATAACCATTCCATACACTGTTAAACATACATATAAAAGGAATTTTTATTTTTAAATCCTTTTTGTCTCGCCACCACGAATGCTGCCTACTTTTCATGGGCCATTGACTTTGTCAGAATCTCCATCCACATTAAGTTTTTGCATTTAAGTTAGTTTCTTTGATATGTGCATCGATGGTCAAAGTGGGGCATATGCGAGATAAATCAATCTGAATGGCTTGTGTTTTTCTTTAAAGTCTTTTTAAAATAAAGTATTTGATCAATATCCTTCGGGGTTTTAAAGAAAGTACTGTTAGAAAGGAGATGCATTTTGCTTGGCCTAACTGAAAAACAAAACAAAAAACAAAATAAATTCTTGAATACTTTAATTTGAAAACTCTCAGTGTCATATTGATCTTATTGTTCTGGAAACAAAATAAACATCCTTATTGAAATTAATCGAAATTATAACCTAATTAACTGTAAACATTTTAAATTGATATCAGTATTTAGGTATAGAAACAAAGAATGACACCTGTATAATCTTGATGTCCAGTTAGTCACATCAAGTTCTGGTACATCAGTGCATATGAATTGTTTTTATGTATATTGACATATATCTTTCAAAATTATGGAATTTTGTGAAGAAAGTATGGTATAACCACGTTTCACTTAATCACTCAGTGTGGTGTTTCTACTTAATAGACAGTATGACTTTCTCTTTTCACTACTTACATAGGTTTCGGTGTAGGAACCTTCCATGCTGGACATGCTGTCGGTTTGGCCTCGGAACTCCGAGTTCATCATGTACCTGCCATTTTAGGAATCGTCAACGGTAGAGCGACCTTCTTCACAGGAAGTGTCGGGCCTCAGCAGTTCAGAGACTTTATCAGGAAGATGTTCCCCTCAAAACTTATAAAAAGGGTAAACACTGTCAGGATTTTTCAAATTTTTGTGACAAAATGTAATTCCTTAAGGTTAACATTTATTACTGAAGAGAGTTTTGATAACTTTTTTTCAACTTAAAGGCAGTATAATTCAGTTTCCAGTTTACTGACCTTTTTTGGTCTTTGCATAAACTTAAAGCTCTTTTTTCATCAAGGTAAATTTTCCTTTAGTTCCATTTCCATCAAAGAAGAAGTGAGGGCATATTATGTTATGTTTTACAATTTCTTTTTAGTCATTTTTAGATTTTACTAGACAAGTGACCTATCACCGTCCATAACTAATGTTATACTAGATTTAAATTTCCAAGTACTCAAAAAAATAAAAATTATTATATATATAGTGTATAAGTATAATTATGCATATATATAAGATCATAGAAATTGAAAAGAAATTTCTACATATTAAATGAATCACAATCAGCATCTGTGTATAGGTTTATATGTACCGGTATATTCACCATACTAGGTCAAACATATAGAATCTGAATAGCTTTAATTTTCCATTAAACACTCTGAGCTCCATAAATCAGCAAGTTTCCTTTTTTTTATCTACAGAAGTTGACAGATGACACCTACAACACTTATCTGGACGGATGGACGGACAACCAAGTCCGAGCCATTATCCTCGGACAGAAGGAGGAACCAGCAATCCGATTTCTTGCCACAGCCATGTATTACAAAAATTTTGTAAAATTTGCATACATACACACAAGTTCGCCAGACGTCGCCAAAATCATGAAGAAAAATGGAGTCAATAAATACAGAGAAACTCTGCTTATGTTCAATGAGGAATCTTCATCGCCAGTGGCTACTATAAGCGTAAGTGGTTGATAGAAACACCAATAAGCTTCAAAACTAACTCTGAACGTTCCTGATAATTAACAGAGCTCAGTCTGTCTATTTCCAGTTATGTCAGCATAATGATTATAATGACACTAGCTTCAAGGATATATTTTCCTCCTCAAAATTCCAGTAGTTACACTCACTTTCATTCTCTGCACCCCTGAAATATATCATGACAAAATTGAAGGCTCTGTATGTGCCACCTTGTGGTTGATACAGCTACACTGTTCGATACTTTAATGTACATCGAAACGATTGTGCGGCAGTGTAAAAGTGAATATAACCGGCTTTAAAGTTGGATGTTGCTTCTCTGTAATCTTCAAAGGACAGCTATCAGCCTAGTGATTGGTTAGATGTTGTTTTTTTACCTGAAACAAATCAAATTCCGAGGGTGTAGAGAAGGTATGTGCATCAAGACCTGAATTGTTTGATTTTGAAGATGTCCTAGTCTGTAGAGTGAGATTATCTGTAGGCAGAAAGCTGCCCTTTCTGTGTACTTTAAAGTCATTATCCTGTTACCATAGGTGTGGTATTGGTCTGCTGAATTAACTGCAATATAATTTGTTTTCGACAGATGCACCAGTTGTCACGAAGTACGCTAAATGAAGTCATCGAAAGTAACAAATTCCTGCTGCTACCTAGATTGTCATCTCAAGAAAGATTTGATGAGCTTTGCCCTGTTGAGCGATCAGCACGTCGTAAAAAGTCAGTAAACTAGATTCATTGTTGTTTTAATGCTTCATTATATATTATAAATAGAAAACTTCATTTGAGAAGAAATATCACTATACATTTGTGGCAGTGCTGTTTTCAGGATTTGGAATGTGAAGGGTGAACTGACCTAGTTACCAGTAACAATTTTAAAATGACAAATTCAACCGGGTCTTTTTTGCCTTTTCACATAAATATAAAGTTAAAACTGTATGAAATCATCAATAACTACACATGTTAGTACACATGCTTGTAGAACTACTGGAAAAACATTTTAAAATTAGTCCTGGTTAATCATGGTAGTCCTGCCAAGATAGGCATAGACCAATAGGAAACATTGAACCAAAGCCCTGGATTACTTTGAAGAACCAGTTGCTATCATGCAAATTACTGCATGTTTGTGCATTTTAAGCATGAAATTTCAACAAAGTTAATTATCAATATGTTGGTGAAATTAAATGCAGAAAATAAATTAATTTGAGGCAGTCCGCTGGCCGGGCTTCCATGCGTTCGAGGATATCCTGTAGTCAGCCCAGACATATTCTGGGCAACCTCAGGCAGCTGTCAGGAAGCTGTTTAGTGTTTATCTTATTCTATACGGAGAAGGGGAAATAGTTTGACACCCACATACAACATGTATAACAAATGCTCTATTTTCACTTTAGTTACTTAATGAATTCATACAGATCCCTGTAGTTCAATATTACAATAAAATATAAATCCCTGTGGTATTTTTTTCAGATTGTGCATTGTTCTATTTACAAAGAAGGCCAATGATCACGAGGTATATCGAGAATCGTTCCGCCAGTACATCCGGCGTTCCCCATTAATACAGCAGGATCGTGTCAGGTTCACCTATGTATACGAAGACACTCAGAAGGACTTTGTGAAGAGCCTAACAAAGGGAAGCAAATCTGTCGTCGAAAACAATGCTGCTAAGGTATGACTAAAACAAGTGTCCAATACAGAGAAGACCTTGAGCAATATTGCCTTGTTCTGATATTATATAATTATAGCATGTAGATCTTGGTTGATAGGTGGTTTTATTAGGTCACCTGAGCTTTAGCTCAAGTGACCTATTGCTATCCGTTTTCGTCCGTCGTCGTCCGTCGTCCGTTAACATTTTACATTTCAAACTTAAAGTCAAGTTCTGCTGGGCCGATTGAACTGAAAGTTGGTAGGAATGATCGCCTCATGGTCCTGACAAAGTGTTGTTATTTTTCGGGTCGATCAGAAATCCAATATGGCCGCCACGGCCGCCATTTTGAAAACCTATTTCAAACTTAAAGTCAAGTTCTGCTGGGCCGATTGAACTGAAAGTTTGTAGGAATGATCGACTCATGGTCCTGACAAAGTGTTGTTATTTTTCGGGTCGATCAGAAATCCAATATGGCCGCCACGGCCGCCATTTTGAAAAACTATTTCAAACTTAAAGTCAAGTTCTGCTAGGCCGATTGAACTGAAACTTTGTAGGAATGATTGACTCATGGTCCTGACAAAGTGTTGTTATTTTTCGGGTCGATCAGAAATCCAATATGGCCACCACGGCTGCCATTTTGAAAAACTATTTCAAACTTAAAGTAAAGATCTACTTGGCCGATTGAACTGAAACTTTGTAGGAATGATCGAATCATGGTCCTGACAAAGTGTTGTTATTTTTCGGGTCAATCAGAAATACAATTTGGCTGCCATGGCCGCTATTTTGCTACTTAGTTCTAATAGGCCGATCTCACTTAAAATTGGTCTAGGAATGATCAGCTCATGGTCCTGACAAAGTTAAGTTAACATTATACTATTTTTTACTCAAATTGGTACATATTTCAACAACAAAAATAAATATTGTAGGACTCAGGTGACCGTTAAGGCCCATGGGCCTCTTGTTAACTTAAGGACAGCATTATCTCTAACCTGTGATCAAATAAATCACATATCCACCACAATCTACATGCTGCAATAGTTTAATTTTATATAGCTAATAATTCCTCCAGTCTGCATTGGTCTTTTTAATAAAATATGAGTCAAAATATATAGCCACTTTCAATATTCAAATTGATGTTTGTCTTGTACTTTTAAGTTTGTTTGATGTTTTATTTTACGTTTGTTTTTGTCAACCATTCGTTGGCCCAAATGACCTATCCTGCGTTGATGGGCCGTTAAGCATGTAATAATAATAATAAAATCCATAAAGGAAGTACACACATGTATGTGTATATTGACATTGTATACATACATAAAATTGGACTTTACTCAAACTTTGGAAACATGGACAATTATATTGATCTCTTTGAATAGAAATCTGTCAATTTAGGTAACACTCCCTTATAATTTACTTGTGCATACACATCTTTGCTCATTCACCCCTAAAATTTCATAATGAACTATTCCAACCTTTGAATTGGAAGAGTTCAAATATGTCTTCAGGGGTGAATGAGTTAAGGCTTTAGTAAAAAACTATGAGGTACAGATTATATAGCTGTAACCTACAACTTTTATCTTAGTATTCTGACCTAGTATTCTGACCTGCCAATCATTGCATTACCTGTTATAGGTTGTCTTTATTTGGAGGATGGACATTCACCACCTGAGCTATGATTGGCTGAAAACAGGTTGGAGTGCCAACCCTAACCGCCTACAGGAGTGTGAGGAGTACCTTGAGGAGAAAGTCAAACTTCTCCTTAACTCTGATCAGTCTCTCGCTTATAAGATTCTTCTACCGGAGTTTCATAATGAACATGCTTTGGTAAGTATCAAAACAAAGAATCGAGTTAGTGATGGGTAATTACCGTAATATCTAATGTAATAACAACATGAATAGTTAGGACAATGCGTAAACTTCAGATTGAAAACAATTGTATATAATAGTTAATCTTATATTGATGGTATATTTTTCAAGAATTGGAGTTATTTAGAGAGAGCAAGACTTACTATATTTATCCTGCAATAAGCCCAGGGAGCCAACACACAATCTCTGACTGAAAGTAGGGGGGGGGGCTTATTACAGGACAACACATAATCTCTGACTGAAAGTAGGGGGGTGGGCTTATTACAGGACAAAGAAAAAGCTTTTGTTGACATTTTTTACAAACTGCAATATATATTGATGGGCTTATTACCAAGCATGGGCTTATTGATGGATAAATATGATACTTAAATATGCTTACCAACACATATAAACAATAAATTATAAACAATAAATTGATAACGTTAAATATCTACAATAGCAATTTTTTTCTAGTAAACTTTGTTGAAAATAGGCAGACATCAAACAATAGATGTCAGTGTTTTGATTACGTTATTTGTATCTCATCTTCAATTTAACATGTGTTGTGTTTTAATTTAACAGGGTCTGATGGTGAGGATTCTGTATAGACTTCTGGACTGGGCTGAAAGAGGTTTTTCCTATCTAACATGGTAAGTTATGTCCTGCCTGCTTTATCTCATGCTACGAGTTGTGTAATGTATCAAAATAAGTTGAGATCTATTTTTAGCACATCAAGAGGAAAAGTTTGTATTCTTAAGGATCCCTGCCTCACTTCACTGTGTTTTTTCCCTGTAAACAATAACCTCCATTTAAGTTCCATTTTATATAACTGTAGCACAGTTGGACCTCAATGTTTCCAATGACCAGGTAGCTAGTTCATTGGGTTAAGAGTGATGGTATACCAATTTGAAGTCAAATGTAAAAAAAATCTTGAACTAGCCCTGCTGGATTTTTACACTCGGGGCACTGTTGTTAGATATTTTGTGTTTATTTCTTCTTTTCTATTTCTCACAATAGTCCCACAGGGTATGGTTTTCATTTCGTTAATGATTTATCAACAGTATGTAGTCATGCCAGAAAAAAACTAGTTTCCAATCAATGCATAGTTACCCGTTTTTGGCAGTGGTACGGGTATCCTTAACCCTTTCACCCCTAAGTAGCTTTCGTAGACTCTACCATCCATTTATCTGGAAGAGTCCATTGTGGTCCACAGTGATGCAAGGACTAAGAGTGGTTTTTTTGTGAAATTTCTATACCGGTTACCTTTCTGTTACAAATTTGGATTTAAAGTAAATGGACATCCAAAATGCATGGCGTCAAAATTTAATGTTTCTAAGTTTGCGTGACCATTGAGAAAATTTAATCCTGTATATGAAAATATGTTTCGTGTAAATATAAATCTTATAGTGTACATGTTCAGGTTATAAAATGACGAGAATCCCCGCCTTTTGTCATAATTTGCCATATTGAGAAATTAATCTTAGAAGTTCAAATCATGAAAGTTTGACTGTTATTAGGGAATGTCAAAATATTGCTCATTTTGAATTTCAAGATATAAGATTTCCCAAAATCTACCTTTTTCATGTTTGTACATGGCACATAAAACTTGTTATCTTATAAACATGAATACATGTAGTAACTATTGAGTGAATGTGTTTTTACTCTCTGCAGGTATGATGGTTTGGTAGTAACAATTGAAATGTATTTTTACTCTACAGGTATGATGGTTTGGTAGTGACAATTGAAATGTGTTTTTACTCTACAGGTATGATGGTTTCACTGTAAGTACGGTGCTGTTGTCTCTGTTCCTCATGTTCTGTATGGGATACTTTATGAACAAGATGGCCGATATAGAAAACCAGCAGGTCAAGGAAAAGGAACCAAAAAAAGTGAAGGCACGACCACCTTCAACGTATGTATCTGTTCACTTAACTTGACCTTGTATGTGATATTTGACCTTGACCTATTCCTGTGTTTGAAGTTTTTGACCTTGACCTTCTATATATGGACATATTGACCTTGACCACCTCTGTTTGTGATCTATTGACCTTGACCTCTTTTTGTTTATACGTCTATAAAGCTATTGACATGACCTTTTTCTGTGTACATGTATGTATCTATGGACCTTGAGCCCTCTGAATATATTATGTTTACCTTGACCTTTGTATGCATTTATTGACCTTTACCTCCTGTTGTGTTTCGTATTAATCTTGACCCAATACATTTATCTAGTAAACTTGACCTCTTCCTGCAATTGTATCAATTCACCCTTCCATGCCCCGCCCCCACGTAGCAACCAAAGTCACGTGACTACATACTCCTACAACAAATGTAAACAAGCCATAATAAAATTTTGCCCATGGCGATGGAGGCAGCGACTGTTGCAGGACTCGGGGACATTCCCGATGATTTTTGTATGGGATACATTCAAGATGCAAACATTTCTGAAAAATGTTTATCCAGGGGAACTATTTATTTTAGAGAGGGCTATGTCCACAACCTAAATTTAACAAAAAATGATGTCCAAGCGGAGGTGGCAATCGGAGGGAGATGCTACAGAAGCATGAGAAAGGGGGAGAAGCCACACTTGTTAACATTACATGTACAGTAGGCTTAACAAAGAAGTGTGTTAAGGACGCATACTGTTCAGCTGGGTAATTATCCAGTTTGGGTCTGTCGAGTTCCGTTTTTCTTTTCTTTTTTTAATTAAACGGTTGTTCAAAATATCATGCAGTGATGTACGTTGGTTTCCTTGTTCAGACGTTTTTTTAAATAGCGGTATCCGCGGCTCAATACTTGGCAATTCTCCCTATTTAGGAGGGAGACTCACGAGTTTTACATCTACATAGTAATGACCACCTACATCTATTTGAAGATCATGTCATGGATAGTGGGTGCTAGGCCAAGAGAAGAAATTGAGCAATTTAAACTAGTGAATTTGCTAAAATTTCATCTGAAAGAACAGCTCAAAAGATGCCATTTACTTGGGGTGTACAGTTATACATACATTTGTTTTAATCTCCCCGATGGACATTTTAAGAAGTTGGCAAGTATGACAAGCTGGTGTTAAACTGTTTATGTGTGTAATCTTACCTATTGCAATATGATCATATATGAACCCCCTATATATATGCGTGTACCCTAAACTACAGACTGTAGTGCAGGCCTAACGTACAATCATGGCAGTCAATGAGTCATTAAAAATGTAAAAATTATATATAACAAAAGGTGGACATTGATAACGTTAACAGTCATCTCCGACATCTGTTGCTGTACTGTGCGATTACATCCAAATAAAAACAAGGGAGTAGGCCCTATTCAAAACATTTGTTCCTAAATGTACTGTTTACAGTGAAGAAATAAAAAGTCTAAAACATTAGTCATATTAATTATATTTAATTATTCCTTTAATGCACTCATCCAAGTTCTGCAAATGAAGTGAATAGCAGCTTACATAAAGGCATAACATAGACATTTATCCCTCCCTTTTGTCCTCTTTTTAAGGACAAAGCATTAATTCTGTGTTGATAACAAATCATCAGTACATTATTACCCCATGCCCCATTCCCAAAATTATATAGTATTACCCTTCCTCCATTCTTCAATATCTAAGAGTGACAAGATCTGATGTGCAGCAGGCCTAGTTTACAAGTTTCTTCCATCTGCGACAGGGACTTGCGAACTTACAACGTTTCACGGTATGCCAGAGGTTCGCATCCTGTTCTGCAAATCACTGCTTGAGTGGAGATAGCAAATCTAAAAGCCAGATCTTTAAGACCAAAATTGTGTCGCAGTCTCATCAATGTTAACAACAGTTTATCCTCGCACTCCATGTTAACTATGTCTTTCCTGTTATTATGGTGTTGTGGGGCCTGAATAGTGAGAAAGTCAAGTAGGGCCTGGAATGTTGAGAATTTGAATCCTGTATAATATTCAAATAATCCTTGAATCTGTGATTCCTCCTTTAAAATCTCCTGAACAGTCAGTGGTTTGGGTTTGTCATCACTTACAGGATTTCCCAATGTAGCTTCATGTTGTTCATACCACACTCTGTATTCATTGAATAAGACTTCAGACTGATGAACTTGTTGTTGTAGCCTCTTGATTTCAGCTGCTGCTGATAGCAGTTCCAAAGATGTTCCTGAAAAAAAGTTCTATAAATAAATCAAATTCAGCTGATTTTATTTTATTTTCAGTCTCAGAAGAATGACATTGCTTTTAACAATGGCAATGTCATGTCTTGCTGAGAAATGATTTATACCCAACCAGTAAAAGTTAGGTTGCCACCTTGTTACCAAGATTTGGTGGAAATATCAAAGGTTGCAATGTTGGAAAAGGCAACACGGTCCCAAAGTACCAACACCCTATGGAACAGACTCAGAGAGAAAAGACTTACAGCATCTCAGATGTTCAAAGTTGTAAACAGAAAAAAAGGTCCTACTGATGCTATGCTAAGAGATTTGTTTACAATAAAGACATTTTCTTCTGTAGCAACAGATTATGGTATTAGTAGGGGGAAAATTGCCAGAGAAAAATATGTCAGTCAAAAGTCTGTCTAAAACATACATGTCCATGATTGTGGGTTAGTGATAAACAATGAATTTTCCCATCTAGCCGCCACACCTGATGGTAAAGTATGTGACAAAGGGGAGACTGGTATTGTGGAAATAAAATGTCCCTTTGTAGCAAGGCAGATGAGTATTACTGAAGCTTGCAATGTGATCCAGAATTTTGTACCTAGTTATGAAAACAATGTTGTAAAAATGAACAGAAAACACAACTACTATGTTCAAATACAGGGACAACTGCTTAACTGCTAGTCACAGGTGCTCCATGGTGTGACCTTGTTGTGTTCACAACAAAAGAACTGTTTGTTGAGAGAATTTATCCTGATATTCCATTTATGACCAAAATATTACTTCAGCTGTCATTTTTCTACAAGTATCATGCTTTACCATACCTCAAAAGATAAGGTATACCATATATAGCTTTACCTAAATCACACCAACTGAGCAAACCCAATAATAATTTACACACATACTTTGATATTGCCACAATTTCACATTAGAACTTGAAGCCTTTAAAATATATTGGTTTGCAATTCCTAGTCTCTAAAAATTGTATTAATTGATAATAGTTATACATGTATACAGTGAAACCTGTCTAACCTGACATTCACTGGGGCATAACATACTGGTAAGATTACAGAAAAATAGTCTGTCAATAGTCTAAATACACAGGTCATATACTATTATTTTCATAACACATGGGATTACAGCATTATGTGTAAAGTGTCTGAATAATCAGGGGTCGGACGAGACAGGCTTCACTGTATTTTATTCCAGTTAAAACTGGTATTAAATATTTAATGAAAACCAATACAATTGAAATTGTACACAACAATACCATAAGTGTTCTAGGACTATATACATATGGAGACTACATGCCAAATGAGTTTGATGTATAGTGCATAGTTCAGTTTCTGGTTTTATAGATAAAATGATATTTTGGTATCTTTCCATTTTCAAAATTTATCTCAGCTTTATACTAAAGCATATCTATACCTTGGACATCAGTTTGTACAAGATCATGTTCTTGCTGTGGTGCTGCTACATGGCCAGTACTGTCTGGAGTGTTAACTGGGACTGAAGTGGGCTGGGGATCCTCCATATCATTGTTCAGTTCAGTGCTGTGTCTTGACAATAAAGAAATGAAGATTAATTTTATTATGGGTTTTCAAGACTCAACAATTTAGGTGTAACCATAATTATTTACAACATGATCTCGATGTATTCCTCTTTTGATATAGCACAACATTAAGACATGGAGAATGGGTTGAAAAAAACACCAAAGACTCATTGGTTAGAAACTAGAAAGGGATACATCTTTCAATAAAATCAATCACTTACAGTATAACTACATGCCCTGAATTAATTTATATAAAAAATCTTATTTTAGAATGTCTATTTCAATTTGTATGTATGCATACTTGACATTTTGGGAATAACAATTTGTTTATCAAAATGTTTAAACACCAAGGTATAAAGAAGTTAATTGATTATAGCTTATCTGATTCACTGCAACATATTTCCTGTCAGGACAATACTTTCTACTTGGAAAATCTATAGCAATGAAAAACTGATCATAATTGTTAAAGTCTAACGGTAAACAGTAAACAAGCTCTCTACTTTCATTTTGTTGACATAGGGGCATGTAATACAGCTGTAATGTAAACAACTAATGGGTCAACAAAATGTTGGTTTTATTAAGATTAAAGATAATAATTGATGTGTGTTTGCTGCTTGCACACCCGCAACTTTTTATATGCTTATGAATTAAACCAGCAGAATACAAGACATCAAAAAAAGAAATGATGATTCCGCTGTGCATGCCCCTGTGTTGGACCAACAGCTCTTATGTTTACACAGTGTCATAACAAGTTTTGCTCGAGACATATTAAAAACATATGAATGAAATTGAGGATTATGTGAGTATTGCCTGTTTGGTCAACCATATTCTCTGCTTTACTACATTATATTTTCTAATATCGGGATATAAACATACCTTTGAACAAACAAACTTGTGTCTATCTATATTTGTTGCATTAAGCTGCGAATGGGGTCGTCCACAAGCCTTCACCCATCTCAGGCATGTTTCTAGGTTGGTTTTAGGGTTTTGGAAAGGGAATTAATGTCACACCGTTCTCCAATCTTTCTGCATATAGGCTGTCGCTGTTGCTGGTTCCCCAGGAGCACTTCTTCACCATTATTTCACTGCCGCTCGTATTTACCCTCGTGTCAATGTCCGACAAAGTTGTCGGAGGTAATGGCCGACAATCGAACTCGCGCTCTGATTGGCTGAATTTGTATAGCAACCGCGTTGCTAACAACGATGTGGAAGGGTGAATTGATATTGACCTTTGCAGTATGTAATAATGACCTTGACCTTTTCCTTTGTGTGAACCTAATGACCTTGGCCCTCTGTGCATGAATCTATAATCGACCTTCACCTTCTTTACTGTGTATGTATCTGTCTATCTTGATGACATTAATTCTTACATATGTACATAAGGCCAAACACAAAAATATGTGTGTTTCTGGTTTCCCTACCAACCCTAGATTTTGGTGCCTACCCTAAAGTTTTAATTGGCATTTAGTGATATGCACTGTTAATGTCAGAACTCCTGTTCTATATAAGCATCGTTAAATATTTTCAAAAAAATCAATTGCCTACCGACTGACCCTAATTTTTTTAAGCAGAAACAGGAAACACACTTTTTTTTTTGGCCTCATGATTATCTACATGAAATGTGACCATCTAACCAACTGTCTGTAATGACTGGTTTCAGAATTCGCCATGTAGTTGTATTAGTATTTGACATAAGTTTATCACTGATTTCTTCACATGATTTTTGGATCAAAACAAAGTAGATCTGTAATAAACCTAGTTTATGTGGTTACTGGCTCATATCATACTGAAATGTCTACCAGAAATTAACACTTAGAACACAAAAACTTCAAATGTGTTTCATCGGTGAATTTTCTTTCAGGAATTAAATAAAATGTAATATTTGCACGTGTTTCATTTCATTCATAAAGGAGTCCGTTCATTGAGCAAAAACTATCACTGCTGGGTACCAACACAGGCAAATTTAAACATTTCGAAATTTGACGGTTTGATATATATCCTTAGAATGTTTTTATATTTTGACCTGAACAATGTTTAACACCAATCTACCATTGCCTGGCTTACCACCTTCACAATGTTATGGAATATTGAGTATGTTTTATCATGTTACATAAAACATATATGCTGACTTTGACATTCCTGCTTTTCAGTTCTGTAGACAACAAAAAAGTCAACATATATGAGATCAACTATAAGTCGTACAGTGACTTGGTTTCTAATGTGGAGACAGGCTTGACCTTTGCCCTTTTGGTGGATGAAGAATCGAAAGAAAAGCTGCTCCATCGGTTTGGGGAACTAGTTTACCCGACTTATACAAGGTATGGAAAGCTGTGTGGTATCTGGAACTGTATAGTTGTTAGATTTAGCGGGGTTAAAAGTTTGTGGTTCGGTGTCCAGACCTTATTTCACAGGGGTTTTACTTTCATGAAACACAATTTCTGTCAGTTTTTTTGGAACACCTCGGAAAGAGTTCTGAGTGCTTGTTACTACAAGTATCAAACTACCCGACGATCTAAAATATTCACGATGGTTTTAATTTGACGAATTTTAAAGCATTCGCAAAATTCACGAAATAAAAAACCCTCGTGAATATTAGCAACCAAACAATACATGAACATTTGATGGGGAAATCTCATTTGTAACTTGAGAGTGTCACCACAGTTATTGTGTGTATTACATGGTTACCGTGTGAATCTTAATACAGTAACAATATCATCTCTATATAATACCGATCTTTTCATTTGCCACTTCGTTTACCACGAACATATTTCAATTTCTCTTTTCACCTTTTCTTTTAAGAATTCCCCTATATGTTTCCCTCAATTTATGGCCAGGCCCCTTTATAATGCCAAATTTCTCTGGACAAATAGTGGCAGTATACGTATATAACAAGGTTTTACTGTATAGTGATACAAGTTTTTAGGCCATGTGATACAAGTTCCTGTATTTCACACTGTGATAATATATATATACAAGATGTTGTTTAACCCCCGTAGTATTTCACACTGTGATGATATATATACAAGATGTTGTTTTACCCCAGTAGTCAGAACTCCTTCTGGCTGGAACTTATTGCTTGTTTTCCACTGATAAAATCGATGAAGTGACATTCATAAGAATTGGTTCCGAACATTTATCACCATTTCATTCTACGGTAAGGGGACACCATTATTCCGTCATTGATGTGATTTTGTCCACATTGTTGTTCAGTTTAAGTTTTTGGGTATCAAATCAAACATTCATATGTGGTAATGATGACTTGCAGAAATTATAATATGTAAATGTAAAAAAAAACATTGGAGGTATCTAATTTAGGCAATACCAAACATATGTGTTAATTGAAGTTGTTATGTAAGCAAATATTTTACGTTGGATTAGACAAGAATGACGCCAGATCCTGCAAAATTTTGAAAGCAATAGGCTTGATTAAAACTTCCATAAATGCAGCAATATAATAGTTTTAGGCAAAAATTGTATTTAAATGTTTCATTCGAGAAGTTTTAGAAACAAGAAATTTAAGACTATAAAATATTACACTTATTAATGCATATAAATGTTATGTACAAGGTTGTTTTACCTTCATCTGTAAATATAAATATAATTCAATAATGTAATATTATATGATATCAATGGGGTGGGCTTAACCCTGAGCATGGGTTTATCACTGATTAGGTATGGTTATCTCCCTTTAATCCTATTCTTACACCCATTGTAGGTACAGCGCCCTCACATTTGGTTTCGTAGACCTTGATCTCTATCTGGGATGGTACAGACACCTACTCGAGGAATGTGTCGACTTCAAACAAGACCTGTCTGGCATCAAAATCAAAAGTTGTTTGGGAACAGTTCTGGCCATTAATGGTTTCAGAAAATATTTCTACATTTACCATCCGAAGCGAGTTCGGAGATGGGTCCGACAACATACTGATAACGTTCCAAGCTCTATCGGGTTTTTCGATACGGATGAGGAATCAGATTCAGAAGAAAAACGCTTCAGGGAAGACGTACCTTCGGAGGATCTTCTGAAAGGCTACACAAACTGGATGGATCGAGTTTTTGATGGATCAGTAAAGAAAATCCGAGTACCATACTGGCCTGAAATGTTAATTAAATAAGAGTGGACGGAATATAAGTTTTTAGATATTTATTTATATAATTTATAAGAGAAGACTAAGGAATTTTGTTAAGCTATTACAATCAAAGCTGTTCTTTTTTTTCGTTTTTTGAGGATCTATTGCATTGCACTCTTTTTCAACTCTCACAATTATTTAATGTCGGATTTCTCCTATTAAGATCACAAATGAAAACTGATTTTAATATAATTAAATCTCATTATATATCTTAAAACACCAGTCATGATAAAGTAGAAATTCACATTTAAACAAATCCGAAATGAGAACTTTTCTGTTTCATTTCTTAGCTATAAATAACTTTTATTTTTTTTATTTCTTTAGAATTTTATTAAAGTATTTAAAGTTTGAATAGTTACCATCGTATGTCATTGCCACTATATAACCCTAACAAAGTTAGTTGCGAGTTGTCCAGCTCATGAACTGCCAACAGTGCGCTTCATGGAATTTGCCTTTGTGCAGTTGGCATTCATATTGCCTATAAATGCCAACAGAAAGCAGTTCAATACTTAAATGAATGATACGAAATATTATCTTTTGAATTGTTTATAATTGCCTAAGTGTGGCTACATTACGCTATATATGTTTCATACTGATGTTCCCAATTTTAACATTTCAAAATTTTTGGTTTTTGTTTCGCAGTTTTTTTGCTTCTAACGTCTTTTTAACAACAACAGTATTCATTGTTTGGAACTGAAGCCCTTTAGTAATGATCAACAATAGAATTCCAGTTAATTTGTAATTATGATATTGTACTATTTTAAGATTGTTCATACCACATACTTGCCGGCAAACTCTCCCTATTTCTTCTGATCTGGTTTCTAAGATTTGATGATTTCATCTGAACAAACAACTCAAAAAATGCCATTTAAAAGTTAGTCTTTTAAATGGCAACTTAGGGAAACTTAGGGAAACTTAGGGAAACTTTTCTTTTCTTAGGGAAACTTTTCCCTAAGATGTACTACATACACACATTTTATGTATGTTTTAATTCTGAGCATGTGTAATCTCCCCCATGGAAATTTCAAAAAGTTGGCAAGTATGTTAATACCATCCAGGGGTTTGCAATATTCAAAATGAGGTCGTTTATTAAATTTAATATGCCATGGTTATTGGCTTAAATTTAATATTTATCAGACTGGTGAGACATACGATTCTATCCATTTGAATGGTAGAATGAGTGGTTGATTTGGTAAATCTTTGCTTTCTACACAATGACATTTACTTAACTACTCAACTGATAACATTTATAAAGTAAATCTGACCAGCTCGTAGCAGAAAACGGTTAAAGAATTGCATTGAAGTAACCCATTCAAAATGGTGTACAGCATTATTCTCAAACACAATGTCATTAGAATATGGTGCCAAAAATGTATGCTACTACTGCCCACAATTTTTGATGTGTTGAGATTTTTTTCATTGTATGCACTTTGAAAATGTAATGAATAGATCTAGAAAATTTAATAATTTTCCAAGTATATTTCACCGATACGACAAAATATACTGATATTGATACTGAAAATATTGGTATTCATGAAATATATATGATATTCAGCAGGAAACCATCAACCCTTTCATCCCTATGTAACTTTAGTAAACTCTACCATGCATTGACTTGGTTGAGTCCATTATGGTCTACAGTGGTGAAAGAGTTAAATAAATATTTCTTCCTTCTTGTATATTATAGGAATTGATTTCTGTGTTTACTTGTCTGATTTAGCTAGACTGTCTGTCTTGGAAGATACTTATTTACAGTTTCTTAGTACTGGGTCAGAGAGGTTGCATCATTTTCACACTGAACATTAAAATCAAGTGAAAACATTTGTATAAGGTTAAATATTTCTCTTGATTAAATGAATGATTTAATTTAGCGACTTTTTAAATGCCAGTGGGTCAATTTCTGAAACAGTTGGTTCAAGAACAGAACCTTGCTGTAGAATCATCTCAAAATATGTGAGATGTCACAGTAACTACCAGACACCTTGTTTAGATTCATTTCACATGGATTATAAGTCATTAATAGAATATATACCCGTACCAATGCAGAAAAAGACATAATAAAAATTCCCATTAACAAGGGAAATTTGAAATCCAGGGTTTATATCATCTAAATGAAGATAAATTCCTTAATACCCAAGATGTTAGGGGAATTGGTGACCCATTCCTATAAACAGTTCTTGAACACTGTTTTTAACAATATTGATTTTTTTTTTAAATTGTCTCTGAAAGTGTTAAATGTATTGATGAAAATATTGAGTTGTGAAATTTGAGTTATTTTGTTTGTTTGCGAATTAGCGACGTATATTGATACGAGTACAAATTTGGCATTTAAACACATGGTTGATTTGGACTCAAATCAAGTATTTCCTCCTATCAAAGTTTATATTGATAATCGATGATCTCAAATATCATTGATTTGTCATTGTCCCAGCAATTTTTATGCAGCAAAGCCTTGGTTTGTCTTTGAATGTCACCCAAATTGTGGATGAAAATATTCTAGTCACAGCTTTTTTATATTTTATGAAATATTTTTTCATATTGTTATGAAAAGAATACCTATTTGCCTAGAGACATTTGAACTGAAGAGATATGATTTCATTGTTCTCTGTGAAACAAATGTGTATCAAGATATTTTAGAAGAACACTTGTTCTTCGGACATCAAAGATACGATAAAACTTGAGTTGAACTCTGTGAGACTGTCCAATCCAGGCCGTTTTTCTTTACCAGTATAAACTGTTGTGAAATAATTTTGTTTAACATCTCACAGTATTGGTTTAACTATTTGATAGAACAATATATATATAGGATCTTACATGATTTACATTTCATATGAGATTTAGGAAACGAGTTTAAGAATTTTTCAATTTAGCGAGCCTCTAGCGAGATTTGTGCCATTTGTTCGAGTAAAAGAACAATTTTCATGCAGCCTTGAAATGTAAAAAGCCGCCATTTTTACAACCAATCACAGGACTGATAGGTCATATTACATGGGTAATTATGCCAAAAAAATATATGACATGGGTATATTCACTGGATAACACGGTACATTATGTGATAAAAATAGAAAAGCCACAGCATACAATTGCAAATTGTACAAATTAATTAATTTTAAAGAAAAACTATACTTCACTAAGTTGTATTGGTGGAGTCAGTCAAATCATAGCTATCAAATATGTACATGTATAGGTTAATTGAAATAGTGTTTCAATGATTCCAAAGAAACCTTTCCATGATTCCAAAGTACCTTAAACTGGGACAGAATTTACCACATCAATGAGATATTTGTGTGAATATTTTGTTCACTAAAACAGAACTCAATCTGTTGATATTTGTAAAGGTGACAGCAGATGAAAATTGTTGAATTTGTTCCATCAGTGTCCTAGAAAAAAATAAAAATTGAGGTATAATTAACTGCACAATTAATAGTGGAGATGTTTTTGTCTGTTTTTAATTCTTAAATCAAATATTTATTACTAATGTATTTCCAGGTGTTTTTTTATTGCTATTGTTAATAAGTATTGTAACATTGTTTATTCAAGACATAGAATTCACAAAATATTACATAAACATGTAAAGCATGTACTGGTATTTTTGTCATGTTTTCTGTTGATTTGATAGAAATATTACATGATGGGATCTTAGACTTGCATTCTTGTGATGTTGATATTGGCAGGTTGGATCTGTGTTTGTAGACGGACGAGACACATCGATTCTGTCAAATTGTGACATAGCCCCGTTTGCACTAAACTTACGAATCAGTTTTGGAAATTCATTAATACATGTATATAATATAAAAAGAAAAAAATCAATAATTCCAGAAACACTAATTCTGTAAAATTCTGTCATAGCCCCCTATGCTATGTATGAACTGCACTACAAAATTATTGACATTGTTTTGAGTATAATATATTAAGTTATTGAGTTTGATGTATTAAATACAGGGAAAATGTATATAATGCCCAAGATGATTTGGAAGATTTTTTTACAATGTCTTATAGAATAATAGTTATTGTTCTAGAGGCTCTGAAAACAGGTATAGCCCGTATAAGTCATCTCCCATTTGGTTACAGCTTTGAAATACATATAGGTAGTTTATAGATACTGTTATTTAGATAGACAGTTTTGATTATTATGTAACAGAGGTCATTATTTTGTTAATGCTTCTGTTAGGAGTCGAACCCGGGACCTCTGGCTTACTAGTCTAACGCTCTACCAAATAAGCTAAAGAGAAATTTTCCCTAACCGAGTCAGTTGGAAGCGGCTAGTATTTTACCAGGGTGACAATTACAAAAGAGTAAGATTACCTGTAATTTTGAGAATACGTAAATTGAAAATGTTAAATCTATTTCAGTTGGTACAACTGTTAATGGATTGAAAGAACGTTGATATATAAGGAAGAGGTATAACAATTACTACATAGTAACATATAAAATCTTATACTTACAAGTCCAATCACTAAAACCCAATAGCCAACCCAAATTTCTTTTTTGCAAATTATCTCCCTTAGACTGTACACAATTACATATTGTTTGTTTTATGGGCAGAGTACCTTCCTCAGGGCTATCTAAAAATTGTTTTATCTGTATTTATAATTAACAATAACCCTGTATTTCATGGAAGAACTAGTAGACAGTTTTTTGTTGTTAATTACATAGTATAGACGATTTTCTCCTTGGTGTGAAGTGTTCTGAATAACTGGACATGTTGCACAAAATAAATATCATGTAAAATGCATCATATTTAAATTGCACCCCATATATAATTTACAAAATAACTCAAAAGTTTTTCTTACAGTATGTTCTCAAAGTGTTTGTAGTTTAAGGTCAAAGTTCGGGAAGAAATGATTTTAAATCAATTTGATATGATGGTGATTTTGGTCACAGTTTGATGTTGTTTGATTCGGAAGAGTGTTAAGATAATTTGGAGGAAATATCGTTAGTTTAAACTCCTTAACCATGTTGTAATTGAATTGGATGGGTTGTTTTGACCCCCTGTCTGTGAGTGTTTTAACAAATGCTTATTTTATTCAACACATAAATGACACATCCTCTCTTCTATAACTTATTATTTCAAGTAATCTATGTTGCTCTCAGTCCCTGCATAACACATTAATGTAATTGAGCAATAAAATCATCTTTGGACAAAATCTGAACAACATTTACATACTTATTGAAGACAATTCTTTACAAATAGAATTAGAGTATTTCTGTTGGTGTCAGGGAAAGGAAGATTGTAGGGAACGAGAGGATGAATTGACAGGGGTTGGGATCATACAAGCCAAGTCTCTATATATTGGAGAAAGAATCTCGATTTTTCACCCTTTCTTTTCACTTTTGAACTCAGCAGATTTCCCCTAATTTTTTTTTTGTTCCAACTTAAATACATACAATTTAATGCAAATAACAGTTTAACATTGTATGCTCTTATTTAAAATTTAGCTTCTAAAAATGGTTGTGTTAGAAATGAGTTTCTAGATTTTGCTGTGTGGGTTCTCCCCATATAAAGGTTAAAAGCTTGGTAAGTATATCTATGAAATTTTGACAGAAGGTCAATATCTGTAAGAGTCCAGATTGACGAGGGTCCATTATGTAGAGTTTGAGAAAGCATGCATGTCACTTTTGTTAAGTATTGTTTGAAGTATTATCAAGCATGTGCTGTAAAATAAATCCCTTATATGAATTTTATTTATTTTACAACAATTGTGAAATATATTAATCACTATATAAATCACTCTTGTTGGCCCTGATCGAATCAAATAGAGCAGGAGGTTCAATGTGAGAGAAAATCGGAGTACCCAGAGAAAACCCTCATAGTTGGGCAGGAGACCCAATACCTTCTCAGGTCCGATCGGGGAAACAAACCCCGGCCGTCTTAGTGAAAGCGAGTGTGTTATCCACTGCACCACCCCACCCCTATTTACGAAGGTATGGTTACACAAGGAGACTGTGTCTAATTGAAAATCCAATTGAGCATGTTGTTGTGATAAAAAAGGTCATTTTTCACGTTTTTTAAAGAAAATATTCCTATATATTACCCTATGTAACTGGATATTGTGTTTTTGTAACATTTTGTACATGAGTGCCAGATTTAAGAATGGGCATAGTGTATAATGTTTTCTTTCTGTGGATATGCTAAAAACATGGTCAATTTTGCAGGTTATTATGGGATGTAATTATAGTGGCAAAAATTGTAACCTTGAAAATTACGAAATTTAGAACCCGTAAAAAAGAAATAATTTACAGTATAAACTTATAAATATGTGTACTGTAAGTTAAGAAACAAACAGTTTTTGCCGTATCCATCGGTTGCTGTGACTTGCATTTATTTATCTGTATAGTACTAGTTTTGAACTGGTCATTGGCTAATGCATGAATCTTACAAACATTTATAATCATAAATATGTGCTGTAATTCTTGATATTTAAATTGGTGATCTGTGTATTTGTTATATACTTATTTAATTACAATAATATTGAAATACCCTAAAATCTCTCAAGTAAGCTGGCTTTTTATAGTTGATAATTTTGAACATTGTTTAGCAATATGCAACTATGGCCTGGATCATTTAAAAGGCCTTGAACTTACAGTCTAAATGGCTTCAAAAATAGGTGGACTTGAAAATAGGTCAATGTTGAAAAATACACCTGGCATTCCTTTATAGGAATGAAAATGATCCACAGCTTATTTTCAAGATTTTAGGGTAATGAACATTGTAGGTTCAGAACAAGTCATACTTTTACATCGTTGATTGGAACACCTTTTACATATGTACACTGTAATAGTTTTTATCACATTTTACTTAAAGTGATCGGCCAATAGAGAAAATATCAAATAGTTCATAAAATACATTATAAATTCATTCATGTCAAAATTTTCAAATTGATAAAAAAATGTATTTGACTGTTGAATGCTAGCTTGGAAGTTGACAGTTTTTATGAAAGTTCTGCAAGTATCATGGAAGATTGTATTTTTCGGTTTATTCAATTTCCTTTATCATTAAGTAGAGTTTAGAAAGGAAACATGTCTGGACATTAATAAAAAGAAATCCAATCCACTTACACATTTAGGTTAATATCTTATAGCATGAGTGTGCATTGGTATAATCAATATGTCTGAAAACTAAGGTTAGTAAGGGGGGTGGGCCAATGATATGACTTTGATAAACGATTAGACCATTTTCATTACGTATTCTAAGACAAAATCACGATTTCTGATATTCCTTTTCTTGCAGCCAAAAAATGTTCTCCTTGTACATGACATGTCCATCACATAATTGTTTGAGGATTTTTTCATTTTCCATCCATCATCGGATTATTTTATCATTCCATAGCATGAATGATCTTTTTAGTTTATTTATTGTGTCTTTGTTTCAAGAAATTAAACCCTACAGGGTAAAACAAAGTTGACTTTTGTGTGTCATTTTTTCGAGAATCGAAATTAGATATGAAATTGACACATATGTCTTTCATTCCTAATTCATTCTGAGGGAAATCCTGAATAACAAGACCAAATAAACAAAAGGCAAAATGGGCTTTAAGTAGTCAACATAGCTGCATCTTTAACCTTTTCAACAGTTGAAAATTTAGAATGATAAAATCAAATTTTGGAATAGTCCCAGTGTTGTTTTGTATCTCCAGTGAAAAAGATTTCCAATGTATCCCGCTTTTTCTGACCTAGAATTGCTTGCCCATATACTATAGCATAGAGATATATTTAAAGTAAAAAATATATTTATTTCCTTTTCACAAAAATACCACACACAAGTGGTTGATCCCGAGACCTCTTAGGCAGCATTAGTTAGAATTACCAGTAAATGTTTTCAGTCCTTAAAAAGACCCTCAACTTGATGTTGTTGTTGGTTTTTTTTTATAAATATTGAAAAAAAAATTCATTGCTGTACGAGTTACTGCAGAAAAATGGTGGAACTCTCCATCTTCATGAAAAAACAAAAGTTGTGCGTGACAGTTAGAAAATTGATTTGTTGTTATTGGCTGTTCTGTACAGCCAAAATGTCTCTGAGCCAGTCAAAAGCCAAGTCAGAATTTTAATAAACAGTCTGTCACAGTGTTTTACTTATCTGCAAATCACGAGTCAAATACGTATATGATTTTTATGCCCCACCATTAAATGAGCTGGGAGATAGTGGTGCCCATGTCTGTCCCACCCTGTCACGATTCAATGTAAACACTGTAGCAACTTCATTCTTTGATGGATTTGATCAAACTTTATACAATTAGGTCAAGTATGAGAACTCTTGACATCATTGTGTTTTAGGCTTCCAAGGTCAAGGCCAAGGTCACAGTTGCTGTGTATAGAAAGATCATCCACTGGTCCATTGTCCTCACTCTAGCTACTTCATTTCCAAACAGATTTCCATCAAAGTTTATACAGATTCCAGGTATGATTATACCTGAAACGAGTTCATGTTTCAAAGGTCACTGCATGTTGCTATTCACAGAAGGTTTTCTCTATATTTCTTCATTAATCAACTTTGAAGTATGATAATACCTTGAATGCGTACATATTTCAGGGTGTCAAGATCAAAGTCATAACTATTTATAGAAAATTATCAAACATCAAAATTATTTTTACATTGCAGCGAGGGCATTCATGTCTTAAAAACATTTCTAGTGTAAATTGTATATATATATAGTGTCTCACATTTTTTTATTTTATGAAATTAATTATAAATAAAACACCAGTCGGGTTTCAAATGAGGTCATTGGGTTCATTATAATTTTTTGATAAAATAAATTAGAACAAACAAGTTGAATCAATTTTAACAATCTATTTGTTGCCTTAAAACACATAAAAACAACTCATAGGTATCACAGTTATGGAAATTCACATTTATGTAATTCAACTGATTGTATTCAGGTCTGGTAGAAAAACAATTTCTAATAGGAAATTGTGTACAAGTCAAGCTAGCAAACAACACTCCTTTTCGCTCCTTGCTTGTACAATTTTAAGGAACAATTTGTAGATCATGAAATACTGAAATAAATCAAATACAGTCAAATAACTTCAAGTGAAATGAAAGTGTTAAATAATTTGAAAGTGAGGGAATTTGAAAGAGAATTTTTATTTCTGATAGTGAAGCATCAGTGCTGATTTTTTCTTTAAAAATGAAACTATATGAAATTCATATTATTTGAAATATTTTAAGTCATCTTGATAACATCTGTTATTATTTCAGAGAAAATAGTTTTGTGTTAAAATACACAGATATGAAGTTATCAAGACTACATGATCGATTCTTCTTTTTAAAAAATTAAGTGCTTCTTTGATATAACAAAGCTGATTTTTAACAAAAATGCAGTAAATACTGTGACGGAAATATTAATTTCAATTTTTGTACAAAATAGAAATATATACTTTAACATGATAATATTTTAATATGATAATACTGTGTCATTGTGACACACAACCTTAGACGAACCATCGAGAGTATATACATACAAAAGTGTGCACCACAAATTATGTTATCAACAATACTGTGAAACCAATAATACTGATGATGATAAAGAATAGGGTAGAAAATGGTAACAAGAAAAACCAACAAAAACCAAAAAAGCTAACAATATCTACAGCTGAATAAATATATATATACATATAATCTTTAAAATAAAAACTTCTAAAATACATAACTTTCACCTATTGATATTATAGCGAAGAGGCTTGAGCAAAGTGGTTTGATATGCATTAAATGATTAAATATGCGAGATTATTGTTTTCTGTTAATTATGGAATCTTGTCAATCAGCTGTTCTAATCACCGATAAATCAAACCGCTCATTTTAAGATTTACGAAGGTTTCGGTAATACACGTTATTCAGAATTACCTGGAAAATGTGTATTCCAGGTATTTTTTTTAGTGAGAATCTTAATATCTCTAACTAACAAGGTTCCAAAGTTTTAACACACCGACAATATACTTTGTACAAGAAAATAAATAATAGTAACATTCTTCTTTTGCGATAAATTATCAAGATGATCTTGTTTGTTTTAAGCCTATAACATGTATTAGCCATTTTTATTTTTAAAAAAGTGCTACAAAGTACAAAATAATTATAAAAAGGTACCTTTCTATTATAGCTGAAGCATGAAGTTTAATTACATATCACAAGGTTTATAAAATTTTGCATGAATTAAAATACTGAATTATTATCAAACAGCAAAACTACTGCAACTTTAAATTATCAGACAGTAATATTAACAATTAAATGAATGCAATTTCTCAGAGTTTGATATTAGAGTAATACTTATTTTTTGGGGCTGACTTCAATTGAGAATCTGGCCATACAAACTATAATTAAATTCATTTTATGCCAATTTCATTGGACTAATATTGAGCATATATATATAATATGAGATTATTAGAATATATCACAGAGATTCAAGAATTGGCAAAAATTACGTAACAAATACTGAAACTGTATTTTAAACTGTGAGTTAATACTGAAGTGAAATTAACTAGTCAAGTTCTACTGAGTATAGCTATAACATCAGGCCTCAAAATGGATTATCTAAATCTCTGCTTGAGTAATACACTTGTAATAATACAAGTTCATAACGAGTGTTCATTGAGATCTCAGATGCAAATACTTTATGAGCATAATAGAGAGAGAAAAAATAAAAAATAACAAATATTCAGAGGAAATTTGAAAATTTCAGATGAGAAGAAAATATGCTGCAAATCACCAAATAATTGTTGAATGGTTTAAATAATATTTCATATTTAATAAATAAACATGTCCCCAATTTAATCTAGATGATGAATCAGAACTTTATCAGTGACAGATCCTTCAATGATAAAATATTTTTCAGCACTTTTAAATTTGTAACATGCATTGCCGAATCTTCACTTTTCTGATCCTCACCTATTTCTGTCCTTCACATTTTTGATGTTACATATCAGCAAAATTTTCACTTTATCCTTTACGGTAAAGTTTCACATTTTCACCAAGTACATAGATCTGAAGTGTTCCTTTTTTATGCTATTTGCATTTAATGCAAGATCTTGTTAAGACTTTTAATTAATATGTTAAAGGTACACTAAAAAAAATTGAGTATATCAAATTCAATCAATTATAAATTGTGTTTTTAAAAGTATAAAAATCAATTTTAAATATGTTTAAAAATATCACATGATTTCAAAGATATCACAGCATGTAAACAATAAAAGTCACAAAGGTATATATATATATATATAATTAAATACTGAAAAATTGTGGAGTTTATATATATATATATAAATACATGTAGATAATGATGTTTTTGCAGTTCAGTGTTTCAAGGACCAATTTAATTTTGATACAAAGACTAGAAAAGGGTGCAGAAACACTTGCATATATTATTTACAGCTAATGAAAGAAATATATATATATACATAATTATAATAAGCAATAAATAAGTTTTGATGTAGTAATCAATACTGACAAATTCACTTTATTTCTTTTTCATCAAACAACTTTTGGTGATCAGAGGGCTCCACAATGCTATAGTTCTCCCAGTATAAAACACAAAGTTAGAAGGAAGACCTAATTTTAAAAGTTAAAGTATGTTTTACAATCTTCACAAGGGAAAAAAAGATTTTTTTTGGAAAATTTAAAAGAAATTACTACACATCTAGGTACTAGGATTTATTCAGAAAAAATTGAAATGGTCAAAAAAAAATCTAGAAAAAAAACATTAATGCTGTTCACAGAGGCACTATGATAATATCTGATTCCTGAAATATTCCAGATATGTTTTGGTAAGAGAGAATACCTGTATGAAATGTACAGAAGGAATAGCTAAGGTTTCTCTTTCAAGTTTGTGACATTCAAAATCTCAAAAACATTATTTGTTTCAGAAAATGAAAGTTTTATAAGGATCAGATTTTAACAATGGAAAGATTTTTTTGTATCAGTGATAAAAATTTGATCAGTTAATAAACATTATATTTTTTTCTTTACCAACATTACCCTTGTAATGGTTACATAACAGTAAAATAAATATCAAAAAACAATATTTATGTAAAAGAAATCAGATGAATCTACATTTCGAATTAAATCGTCTGAAATTCATAATTGAACATGTAATCAAAATTGTAGTTTTAAATCATAGTAAATCACCTTTCAATTCCAACAGCACAATCTTACTCTTACTGTCTGGTAAAAGAATTCATTTCTAAATGAAACTGTTGCAAATCGATTCTTAGTATTATATACCAGTACTAAATATTGATGTCCAGATTGAACACGATGAAAAAGCAGATATACCCAGCTCCAATAATTACACATTCGCCAGAGCTGGCAGCTTTTCCGGAGATTTGTATACCGATGTGTTCCTGAGGTGTAAATCTTTGTTTATTTTATTGACGGGGTGAAGACTCGTAGACATATTTTTAGGAATTGCAAATCTTGCCTTCACCATAGTGTCTGTCGGGTGTTGATGGAAGGTGTTCTGGTAGGTGGATAAGTAGTCTCCCCTTGTTTCATCAGCAATTTCGTTTGACCACTTGTTTTCAAGCTTTTGTAGCAATCCAAAATTTGTTGGTTTTCCTAAAAAACATTAAAGTAAACAAAGAATAAATAATTAAGTCAAATAGTTGTAACAGCTAAGGAATCAGAAGGGAAAATACTGCCTTACTGGCAAGCTAGCTTTTCCAGTGATGTTGGTATAACCCGGGGACCCGCTCACTAGTTCAGCAACGTTGAGAGTGGTCATAAGATCACCAGGCCCTGCTTAATTTTGATTTGCAATCTAACTTGTCGGGGCTGCACTTTCACAGAATAAATATGTCCGTAAGTCATTACCATCCACTACACTCTACATTGACAGAAAACTCTCATGCAATTATATATATATATGCTTATAGTTCAAAATAACTGAATACATTTCCACTTTAAAAAAAAATAAGTGGGCAGAGATTACACCCAACACATCTTTTTTAAAGAGGAGTCTTTTATTTCAGACAAATATCCTTATAATGTGTAAATTGAGGCAAATTTCTAGTGCCTAGGAAGACAGTGCGATATCGCCATAAATAAAGAGTAGAAAAGAGATCGAGAGAAGAAAAGATAGGGACCCCATTTGCAAGTGTTGCAAATTTTAGTTTTATCTTGGATGTCTCCTTGGCAGGGTGGAATTGTGGGGGGCAGGAGGGTTCATATTAGTAACCTTTTACGATAACATGCTGTCTGATACAGCAGGTCTATCATTTCCCCTAAGTTTCAGGGGAGCTCACAACATTAATTTCTCTGATATTCAATTTATTTACCTTGGAGGGGATAGTCCGATTTCTCTGGTGCCCATGACAGTTTGTGACCATTCCAGTCTCGTAATCCCGGAAGATCGTTGTTTTCTGTCCAACGGCCATTGTAATGCTCATCATACCAAGACACAGCGTTGTTGGAATATCGTTTACCATGGTGATGGAATATATGCTCTGGTCCGAGGCCATTGTTTTTCAGCAGGGCTTTCCTCCTTACCATCACATCAGGACGGTGTCCTTTGAAATTACGGAAATCTGTTCTATGTGTACTGTTATGTTTCTGATCTCCCTTATTGAACTGAAAAAGAGATTACAAAGTAAAGTATACCAATTATACAAACAAACTGATTCGGATTATAAGCTATACGTGTATTCAAATAACAATCAAAAGATTCTGTTGAACTGTGAACGAAACTCATTCCAACATCTATAAGGAAAGGAACTATGCCAAACGGACAGTATTTACAGCCATTCCGGATTGATCGTATCCAAACTCCAAAAGGTAAATCTTTGCAACATTTCTTTGAAATTCGGGATGCTACCGTCTTTGTGTACGTGACAGAAGTCGTTTCTAATCAGGTACAGCAGTTGGCCGTTGTTTTTCAGCTGGGCTTTCCTCCTTACCAACACATCAGGGCGATGTCCTTAGTAATTACGGTGTACAGATGACCTCCAATAGTAAAAAGCACTATATATATAACATTTTGTCAATTCACCAACAATCTATCTCTCTGTCATGACAAACTCATTATTTAGCATGACTGACTGTGTCAATGAGCAAAGAAAATAGTAAAATTAATTAGCTCCAACAGGTACAGCAGTTGACCTGACCCAATGTGTATACATTGTGTAGTTTGGACAAAATGCACTATGTCTTTTAGGGTTGAGGCCTATTTTCTATGATCATTGACACAGTCAGTATACACATTGGGTCAGGCCAACTGCTGTACCTGTGGGGAAACGGCTTTTGTCACGTACACAAACACGGCAGCATCCCAAAATTCAAAGAAATGTTGCAAAGATTTACCGTTCGGAGTTTGGTTTGGATATGATATACCAATCCGGAATGACTGCAATTTGCATTGAAAGTAACTTCACATGCAGTACATAAAAAAAAGTATAGTTGACAGCTATTCTTGGCTATTCTCGGACTCTCCGAGGGTAAGAAATTGCGATAGCCCCTCCTTTCTGCTTGAAGTTGGGGGGGGGGGGGCTCATTATCCAAATGATACCCTCTTACACGCCCGGAGATGGAATACATCTAGCCATTATACAGCATTTATATTTCGTCTAATTCATTTCGTTATTAGTTTTTGGGTCTTATTGATTGAAATTAGCTAACTTGATATTACCAGACCTCTTAGACTGGAAAGTAAACAGCAGTTGTATTTCTCTCTCTGATCTTAGCCTAAGACTTAGGTTGATGACCAAGTGTAAACTTACCGTATATCTCTCCTCTGACCAGTTTCCGATCAGGACACCAGGCGCAAACCTTTGTTCTATCCTCCATCCTGGCAAGTGCCATTTCATTGGATCGCCTTGAGCCATATTCTTTCCCTATCAGTTCACACTGCCTATAATTTTCTCACAGGAACAGGACGATCTTCGTGAACAACTATATGTGAGGAGACACAACACAGATATTCTTACGCATGGGAGTATTTTTTTCAAGAAATAAACAAGATCTTGCAGAAAAAAATACTTCAAGTAACAGGTTAAGTTTATAGTTTATTCTTAAATTTATTTATATTTCATCTTATACTTATTCGTTTAAATTCCACAATAAGAAGAATGTGAACTATATTCTTGTGCGGAGCTATACTAACGAGGTATCGTTGCTACAACGTTGCTATTCATTCGGAGTCTCTCGGATGTTTCCTTTTCTCTATACTAAAACTAAAATATTCCGAATAGGTTGGCGGTAAAGTATAAAACGAAAGTAGTATAGACGGCAACGGGATGAATTGATGATGTGTGTGTGTGCTTTATATTTGTTGTTCCGCATGTACAGAGCTTTGCTGATTTAGGCCGATATGCATCTCCACAGTTAGTACAAAAGAAATTAAGCTTCTTTAATCATTGTATTATAACCCAGGTATTTAAACGACCTTTATCTGACCTATTGACGGCACGCCTGCATTATATTGAAGCTATATTCACAATCTTATTTAATAAACGAATTTCTAGTTCAATATCAATCCAAATTGCATTACCTGAAATCCGACGTACAGTCAGGGGCTGTAAATATGAATTAGGGTTCCTATCATGGGGTTGGTATAAACCGCAAGATCTTGCAGCAAAAAATACTTCCAAGTAACATGTTAAGTTTATACTTTATTCTTAAATATATATACATTTCATATATATTGAAAATATGAGTTAGGTTTCCTATCATGGGGTTGGTATTAAAGCGATTAGATTAATTACAGCTAGGGGTGTTTTTTAACCTCAGAAGATTTCAATACTGAGAACCAGGTAGGTCAGGTGCAGCATAGGTAGAGGGCACGTCTATCATTTTTTTAATATATTAGTCTAGTTTTATTTATTAAAAAAATATATTGATAGACGTGCCCACCACCTTTGGGTGCAGCATGGACTTTTATGTCTAAAACCTGTATTATAAGCTTTTCCAGGGAGGCGCTCACTAGTTCAACAAAGCCGAGTGTGATAAGTGGATAAATGAGTAGATAGGGCGTGCAGCCACCGTACACAACCCCAATCTGATTAAAACCAGAACTTTGATTCCACTCCGATACTTCATTTGGTTTTAATCAGATTGACACAACCCTATAGCTTCCCCTACCCCAATACGCGCCGTCCGTTTTTGCCAATTTTAATTTGCGGACATTTGCCGAGTGATAATATTGGTATTATGTTATGATAAAAAAATACTTTCAATGACATATATGTATACTAAGAAAAGCTTTAGTGCGTTCAGCGCTTGAACACAAGCTTTCGAAGCATGCCGACTCGCAACTTGATTTGGCAGAGTCTGTACACTGGATGTACGCCTCCTTTGAACTCCAAATCTGGATCCGCGACTTGGACTTGACAAGATCTGCAGGAACGACTCAAAAGCTAGAACAAAAATCACGAAAAGTTTGCAGCATTACAGCAGCTGTATAATATTTGCCTAAACCATTACACACTTTTGGAAATCGTTTTACAATTTGTCTAAGTCATTGTAAATCGTAGCCTCAAAGAATGAACACTGCCCTAAAATTGTCCTTTTTTTACGGATTGAAGTGCTGTATGCGCATCCCGCCACGCAAAACAGGAAGTACCTGCAACGCTATTTCTTTTAATAGAACACCGTGTTCTGCAAGGCTTGCTTTAATAAATTGGCGAATTTACGTTCGGTACACAGCGCTTAATTTACACCTTTAAAATTGAATCTGACAATAAATGTTAAAGCTCCTGCTTCAAGAAGGTTGGCCTGACGACCATGCACTTAACCACTAGGTCTTGTTCAAGTCGCAAACTATCTTAGAACTGGTGTCGTCATGGTTTCCTCTGTTGTCTCCTTCATTACTGTACGTAATTGCATGCATTTCCCCCCTGGAATTGCTATCAGCGATGTCTTAAATATAATGACCTGTTTGATCTTGATGAAGTTGTGCTGTTCCGCGAAGAATTCATTGCACTGTGTAGTTTGGTTTTTGTGGCGTATAACTGCACTCGACTAAAAACATAGGACCCCTACCTATATCTAACTCTTCATATATCCTAACATCCAACATCCTCGATACTCCAGGGTTTACGCTCACTTACGCTCTCTGCACTCCTTGACTATGTCATAGCAAAATTGAATGCACGCGGCTAGCTATTTGTTTTATTTTAGGTAAAATAAAACCCTGACCAATCGCTGGGCAGATACCCGTCCTTTGAAGGCTACAGAGGAGCGACACCCGCATTTAAAGCTAGTCAGTTTTACCGTTAGGCCACCGCGGAATTCTTTTGACGCACACCAAAGGATCAAACTGGTCATCTATAAGCCTGAGATGACACACACTGAGCCTTCAATTTTGTCGTAACATATTCCAGGGGTGCAGAGAGCGTGAGCCTAACCTCTGGAATATCAAGGATGAGCATCCAATGACCCTTCACTGATTTCTAAACATTGACTGTCATCGTCTAAAAATGTTCAAGTTGGTGACTGTCTAACCCAAGAAGCAAATGTACCATGTAAATTCAACGGTGTTCTTCCCACTGATTTTGCTGCGATGTTCGTTCATTCGTGCAGCCACAAGAAAAGTACCAGTACCTGACATTTGGAATTATGGCACTATTCTCACTTTCATTCTGTCAACCTACGTTGTACATTGTAGCCCCAACGTATAAAAATTTAAAATGTTGAAATGCTTCAACATTTTGCTCACAAATGATACGTCTCAAGCGGAACTACGGCGAACATTTTGAGCCGTAGGCATTCATTTCATTTCAACAATTTTTATTGACTAATTATTAATCAAATTGATTTAATAACAGGCTCAGTCTATAAAAATATGCTGTAAGCAATAGCCATGTCTAACTGCAACATTCCAAATCCTTTTGTTATCCATCTTCTACCCAATGATTTGCGTCATGTGCTCTGGATTTTTATGAGCACCCAAAGAATGCTCAATTATTTTATCCTTATACGTGTATTCGTTTAAAACCACCGATGCATGCACTTTCTCCTCTACGATATAACTCAACATTGTCCTGAAATCCACGATTATCTTTGAGGTTTCCTTCTTTGAAACAAAGCGTCATATTCCTGTTACCCAACGTCCTTGTAATTTCACTCTTGGCAGTTTTCAATTTCTGCTGTTGGGCTTTGGACGGTCCCTTCGAACAAGACATGTTATAATGAAATACGTTTTCCTCACTTTATACAGCTGAAAATCTTCCCTATCCGTCTGTGTAGATCTTTTCGGATCATCATGTGTTATCTACGATGTTCCTCAACTGCCATCCTTTAAAACTCGAGTCTAATTGAGCTATTGCTCGCCATTTGCTGTCTTTTGATTTGTTTCAATTCCTCCGAGAATAACAAAACTCTCGTAGGATCGTACACTGCCAACCAATATCGCTTTGTAAGGTATCACTGGTGTTCCGGAAGTCCTTGATTTAAACTTAGTTCTGTTTTCATTAGCTGACATCCATATGTTTTCCCTCTATTCTCTCCATGTTTAAAACCATTACTGTATGCGGTGCTGGACTCGCCTCCATCTTGGCGATGCTCCATTATATGACACGTCTTTCACCCTAACCTATCAAATCTTTACCGTCATTCGTATCAGTCGTCATCGCTTGCAGTCATGTCACTTTGCTAGTTCCTACTGGTCAGCATACTCAGTATATTCTTCGTCCTTATGTGTTTCCTGTTTGCTTGTTCATTTCTCAACTCTGACATTGTTCTCTCTTTGATCCGTAACCCCCCTCTGCTAGGTTCGGAGAAACATAGCCGGGTCCGTATTCAGGAAACCGTTCTCGTGCTCAAGCATCTTGTGCTTAGACCGATTTATTGTTTCGGTGATAATTAATAAAAACTATTCTTATTTTGTCAATGACTTGGAAAAAATTAAACAGACTTAAAGCCGAATACTGTTTCAATGTTCACATTTGCCTTTTTGACATTGATTTAAGCGAGTTACAAGAAAGTTGGTTTGAGCACAGGATCCATGCTTGATTATGAGAACGGTATCGTGAATGCGGGACCTACTGGATCCCATTGGATATTTGCCCGAGACGACTGATGTTGGGCATCCTAGAGACTGGGTGTTTTTCTGAGCAGTCTGCTTAGTGGACATTTAGGAAACCGTAACTGCTAAGGAGATCTGCTTCAATTATTCCAAGAGGGATGGTATTTTTCATTTCCTTGCCTATTCTTCCTTGTGTCTCAGCACATCTTCAGGTTATCCAGGCATTTTCTTCCGTATGGTCTTGTATAACGTTTAGTGTTAATATGCTGTTAATGTTATATCAAATCTATACCGTCATTTGTATCCTCCCTGAGCTCACCAGATTACTTAATGTGCATGTGTGCATTAAATGTAAGATGCTCGAAAAGTGTTTTGTCTAATAATCCTTAATTACCTCTCTCCTTTTAACTGTCTACCACATTAGTTAACGACGCTTTGTTTTATTTCCGTTGTTCAAACTCATGAACCTTTAGTCATTTTCATCTCAACTGTGTCTAATCGGTAAATCTCTAAATCGAATATTTCTGTTTCTAAAAACGTAGCATTCTTATGTCTTATTCCTCATAATGTGTTCGTTCTAAAACGACAGCAAAGTTATCTTTAGCTTAATAGAATGTTGAAATTAGACACTGGAGTGTTATGTTTTTTGAGAGTAAGTTGTCCGGTCAACCGCTCTCTCATATGGACATGGGTTATCATATAGGTAGTATGTAGGTATGTACCAATGCTGTACACGTTTTCCGAACAATATAAAACCATGTCAGTATGTGCCGGTATCACTTACCTTGACATAGACAATTTCATGGCATCTACAATATAATATAATATAAACTCTATTTATTTTACAGCAATTATGAAATAAGTTATTTCAACGTATATTGAACACTCTTGTTTGCCCTGATATTATCGCGCTAGGGGTCTTAATGTGGGAGGAAAGCGGAGTACCTACGTGGTCGGGCAGTACACCCCATACCTTTTCATTTTCGATCGGGTAATCAAACCCCGACCATCTTGATTAAATGCGAGTGCGCTTTCCACTGCGTCAACCGACCACCCATGGCATCTACAATAATATTGAAATGAATTAGCCAATGCTTCCTGCAATAAAATGTAGCCATACAGTATGACTAAAGATACAAAACAACATTTCATAATTGAAAACAATCCTTATATTTATGACATCTTAATGTTATATTAATATTGAAGTTACGGTTTCAATGAAGCTGAAAAAGGCAATAACACATGTAAAGCGGACGGCAAGTTTCATGTACCTCATATATATGCCAACCGTTATATTTTCTCATGTCAAACCCAGTCCAATGCATAAGTAACAAACTATCTTTCGATTTCAATTTTCCGATCGTGAGCTTTCCATTTCTTTATAATAACCCTTTGATTTCCCTCTGACGGTATTAACATGTTGCAGTTAATTAAGCATTAAACTCCGTTCTTTGGAATGTTATTGTCTTATAATTCTCACAGGATTGCAGACAATTTGAATAACGCGCATAAGTGCGTTATGATTAATTTGTCTGCAATCCTGTTAGTTTTATAGGACAATTACTTTCAAAAGAAGGCAGTTTAATACTTATATTTTCAACTTGTTATGGCATTTCAAAGTCAAATGTCGCGCTGTCTGTCGATGGGACTTGTTCTTGTTACGTCACGAGTGCACGCGACCGTTCCCGGCAAAAATTATAGTTCGTGGAAATAAACACAAAATCATCATTTTAATTTTAACAATTTAATCAATATATTCCACCATGAGGATATTCACATGTTATTCAACATAACTTTATTAATGCGAGTTACATTGATAATCGGTCAAAACGACGTCACGAATATGTTCTTCATATCACTACACCAATGGGAATTATATTTTGTTTGGTAAGGTTATTTTCTTTTCTTGTGCAACATGGAGGTCTATATTTTGATTATGCTCTTTGATGTGACTTGTTGTTTCCTTGTTACTATCCCGATTTCAACTTTGTGGACGTGGCATTATTTGTCCGTTGTTGTGGATGAAAAAGAAGACGGTTATCACTTTGGAACACATGGTCTCATTATACTTTTTCAAGGGTCTCTGCGTAAATCTTTCTTTGTTCATATTCTGCCATGCTTTCGTCGATTCTGAGTTCAAATTACGGGTTTCTTGACAGTGAGTTAGTTTTAATGACTTCGGATACTTAAAGTCAGTCTATAATTACTCTAAATTTGAAAGTTGAAAATCAGGTAATGAAGATCTTAAAAATTTGTAATAATTCTCACAATGCGTTGGAAATTCATACCATAGATATGTTAAGACTAAGCAAGGCACCGTTGAGAATCAAATGCAAATAGATTTACTAGCACATTAAATGTATATAACAAGTTAGCATACGGAATGCCATTAACACAATGTAACTTGTTTTGAATTGGTCTCCTTCACGCAAGAAGATTTTTTTGTCTCTAATGAAATTTATTCGAGCGTATTATTTTACTCCAAAAGAAATTGCTACAATTTCCTTTAAACGTTTAATTCATTGAGCCTTTGTAAATGTTTCGTTTAGGACGCTTGATTTCGTTTCAGTAAATAAATGAGATAATTGTATCCGTGTTAGTCCCGTTTACATATAATTATCGTTTATATCACCTCGTGCCCCAATGCTTTATTTTATCTATACAACAACGGTCGTGTAACAATACCACAAGGCATACGTTACCGATTGTAACACTGAACACTGCTAGCCTATAAGAATGAATTAAATGTTCTTTTAAGATATCGGCCTACCAGAAAGACATTTATGTGATATTATCTTAAGTATTGTGTTCATTGGGTATAGTATGTTCCACTCCGTATACGTTACGGCTAAAGCGCTATTCAGACAAACTAGCTATTTATTAACAATTTTACCCAATAAATTTAGAAATAAAAATGCCTTATACATAAACATTTTGACTTTTTACGTAAAGCACTCATTATCAACGATAATTGTGAATGAATAACTTTAGAAAACATTTCAAAAATTACCAGTAGAAAATAAAGCTAACTAATTATTTCTGATCTAATTCCTTCACACACGTATGTGTGATGACGTTGTCAACGTATACGTGAATTTTAACACGGATCGAATGCATGCATAACACAAACCTGGAGTCAACATGGTGAGTAATGCTGTTTAATACTTCTCTTTTTTATCATACGACAAATGTTGTTTGCAACACAAAATATAACAATGTAAATTGCAAATTCTCGAATTTGAACTTACGGAGAGAGTACATGCTTACATGTGTACATTGTTGGCGAATGATATGTGAGTTTATCATAGAACCTAGACAAATACACGTGTTCGTTATGAATCTCACTTCAAATACATTCCGTAAAATTATATTTCAAATATATGTAAGGAATGTAAAGAGAAACTAATATCAGTTTCAAATACATAATTGACAAAAATCTGTTATGTATTATTGTAATAATAATATTTGGAATAATGATATAATTTACATATACACATGTATATATATAGGATCATACTCATAATATTGTTGTATTAGTAGTATACGTAAGATCAGGTGGTATTAAATTACTGCATTTAGAAGTTTTATATATCAAGATATTCTGGGTAATAGGCCTCTTCTAAACCAAGAAAATACTTAGCCAGCCTGTTCTAAATAATCTATTAAACTGTCGTCATAAACTGGTGTAAAAGACGTGCATGCAAGTCATCATTCGTCCCTAAAAAAAGGTATCTAAAGCTAGATCTGTGATGCTATCTAATTGCTATAGAAAGCAGCACTTTGTGTTGCATTTATTTAGTATTTGTTTTCTTCCATATGTGATTCGGATTTCTGAAACGAAAAAGAAGCTAAGTTGTTATTGTTATGTCAGATAATAGCTTAAGTAGTTTTGTCATCTTTTTTAATGACATAGAGTAAGATTCATGTACACCATTAATTGTTGATCATAGTCGTCACTAAGAATTACAAAATCGCCCAAAAGCCCTGTTATGAGAAAGTACAAGTATTATATTAGTTATAAAGTCTTTGAGGATTTTGGCGGTAGATGGAACGACCTACTTGCTCGATGGTAGCTCTTTCAGTGCCTTCAATGGGCGAGGACTTGTTTTCTATGTTTTTAATCATCATTATCCACACTTTCCTGTCATTGACGATAGGCACTATATCAGCATCTTCATAATCCAGTGTTCCGTTCTAGCTTGCTAAACATATCTTCTCTCTACATTCTGGAGTATTTCATGGCAAATGCTAATGAAACGAAGAGATAAGTATGGACACATTTGTTGAACACTGCATATACCTCTTATTTTCTTTGAAGAATACGCTGGCACCATAACGGTAACATTTAATGCCTTTGGTTTTGCTGTTATCGTCTGTAAGCTTCATTCTCATAGGGACAGGTATCAGCCAAGTGATTGGTAATTTTTTTAAGTCTGAAACGAAAGAAAATGCTAACTATGAGTTTGTGATTTCGTCATGACATATTCTAAGGATGCAGATAAGATATCGAAAGTAGAACCTGTGTATTTTGAAGATGTTTTGTCAGCTGCCGATTGAGATGAAGGAAATGCTTACCCTCTGGGAACAATTGTTTACGCCTTCGTTTTTCTTCTCTATCTTTCAATTTTTGTAAACATATTCGTATATTTGTATGTCCCTTCAGTTTTTGTCATTTCATATGCCTTCAAATTCAGATTTTTCCCTATTGGTTGACGCTGTGGCGTATTTCCCCCTAAATTTATTTAATTTTTTCAATAAAACTTTCTCAATAAAGGTATGGTTTGATGTGCTTGAAATTTGATGCTTGTCATCGCTCATGTGTGTGTACGTAGTACTTAGGCTAAACACTTTATACCGAACAGATGCGAAGTACAAAAGATTGACCCCCATTGTGACTGTCGCCTTTTAAGTCATTGTGATCTTGACCGTCTTTCGAACATGTTTCGTTTATTGTTTTGTATCTAACTGTATTTGGTACACGTAGCATGTTGTTTTTATGTTTCTCACTGTATTCACAAATACTGTACATGTAACAAGTTTTATTTATGTGTTTCACTGTATTCACAAATATTGAACATATATCATGTTGTACTTTGTTTAGAACTGTACTTACAAATATTGAACATATAACATGTTGTCTTTGTGTGTTACACTGTATTAACATATATTGTACAATAAACATGCTGTATTTATGTGTTTCATTCTATTTACAAATATCGAACATGCATATCTTGTGTGTAGAATCAGTAACAATGGCCATAGTGTAAAGGGAAGTTATTTACTAGGTAATGTAATCAGTTACCTCCCTTGTCTCAGTAAACTATCTTAATCATGAACATAAACTGTACATATACAAAATATTTCGTAGTAGATAAAAAAACATTTCAGTGGAAGTATTGTATATATTTTATGTCCGTTAAATAATTCTATATTGAATTGAACATTACAGGCGGATGAGCTGACAGAAGATCAAATAGCCGGTAAGATTTAATGAAGAGTATTAATGCCCCTATATAATTGACTCATGCTTATAAAATATAAGTAGATAGTTATTCACAGAATAAAATCACCATTTAGAGAAATGATACAAGATAATAAGCAAAGGATGCATCAACATATTTTGATGTAATTTGTATGTAGTAATGCTCCATTTCTGAATTTATTTACTTTATAAATGTACCATGCTAGGATATGAATTATAATTTCTTTCTCCGATGAAATCAGTTATTTTGTTATCTTTTTCACTTAAAATATTTTCTATATCAAAATGATTTAATATCTGTTAGTTGTTATCACTTCTTAATGTCACCTTATTCAAAACGTTTTTACTTTTTTGTTTTTTTGCATAATGCTTTGTAATGACTTGGACATTGATACAACCTCCGATTCATCACACTTATGTTCGACTGACAGTCATGTTTATGATTTTTCTAAATAGAAATAAAAGAAGCATTCAGTTTGTTCGATAAGGATGGCGACGGAGCTATCTCAACAAAGGAGGTTGGCATGGTGATGAGATCGTTAGGTCAGAACCCTTCTGAACAGGAACTCCTGGACAGCATAGAGGAACTAGAGGACGGAGATAAAGGTGAGCTGTCTTGTCTACATACTATAAAACACTAGTACAGCTCTATCCTCGATACTCCAGGGTTACGCTCACGTTTGCTCTCTGCAGCCCTGACATATGTCATAGCAAAATTTAAGGCATGCGGTTAACTATTTGATTGGTCTTAGGTAAACAAACATGACCAGTCGCTAGGTTGAAACATGTCCTTTGAAGATTAGAAAGGAGTGAAAACAAACTGCACTCCAAAGCCAGTCTACGCGACCGCGAGATTCTTTTGATGAACATCAAAGGATCAAACTAGTCTTCTCGTCTCATCCACAAGGTGGTGCACTCAGAGCCTTCAATGTTGCAACGACATATTCCAGGGGTGCAATGAGCGTTAGTGAGCGTAACGCTTGAAAAATCGAGAATGGTACAGCGTAAGAAATGTTAACATTATTTTACTTTAGCACCAACGAATTCAATATTCGTTATTTTCAATGTTTTCATACACACACAACTGATTGATATGGCCACTTCAGGATGACATTTAAGAATACATGGATATAAAATATGCAACCATGAAGTCATAAATTGAAAAACAAAACAAAAATTAGAAATATGAACATCTATATATATATCGATTTTAGATAGTTAATACACATATCCTTTCAAATAAACTTCAATAAAATTTCCATAGAAATGGTACAAAATGTACATTGATATGAACATTAAAGGTAGCCTTAAGATTGGAACGCTAAATTTGCCACTAAACCATTGTTGGAATAATCATCAAAGGCTCATCATCTTCAATATTTATTTGTAGCTGGTCTAGTAGATTTCCCAGAGTTTTTGACATTAATGCTGAAATCAATGAAGGAAAAAGACACCGAGGAGGACCTTCGGGAGGCATTCAGAGTTTTCGATAAGGACGGCAACGGCTTCATAGCAGCAGCAGATCTCAAACAAGCGATGATTAATCTTGGAGAGAAGCTGACTGATGAAGAAGTAGAGGAAATGATCAAGGAGGCCGATAAAACAGGATCTGGTCAAATTGCTTTCGAAGGTAAAAATTGAATATAAATTCAAGGAAGTATTCTTCTGAAACAGCTAGTTTCATCACTACCTCCTATTTTGTTTATACATAATATAATTGCTATACTTGGAAGGAGTAACATTTGTATACAATAATCAGTATTCATGTATTGAACCTATTGTCATTAAATATTCACTTATGTTCTAATCGTATATATTTCTTATTTACTAGCCTTGCATTTATTTATTAAACTTATTGTTAAGTCTATTTTTTTCTTTTTCTGTCAAGATATATTTTGCGCAATATATAACCCCTTCAAAGCATTTATATAGCTACATGTATAATATCATTTAATTCATATCAAAACACTATTTAAATGATTTTCATCATTACAGAGTACATGCATTTACCAGTCTTTTAAAAAAAGTTACGATATGTTATTTATATTTTGCAGAATTTGCGGCCCACATACTACAAGTAGTCATATAAAAAAGATGAGCTGCTACCCTTTGCCAGAAAGAGGATTCTGGGATTAACATGAAATGATATGACGTTGATTTACTACATAACATCATTGCCTTGCCTTGAAGCAATCTACGTTACTGGAAAACTGGCTTGATTATTTCCAATAGTGTATAAGTAACGTTATTACTAGATCGCATTTTGACTCTAAGTATGCCTTGGGCTATCTACTTATTGATGGTTTGGTGAACATAACCGCTGACATTGAATCTTTAAAATGCAACAGAGATGCGGAGGTGCTATTGCTTTATTCAAATACTGTACAACAATTCTGTAGCAAAAGAAAAATCGTCAAAATAGTTTTTAATATCAATATTACCTGCTGTACATATTGCTCATGCTTTTAGATTTCTTATTTCATTAAATGTCACGATGCCGACATGGACAGATAATTAAAAGTGTTTCTCCATGACTTACAATTTTCCCTTCTCCGAATTTGTAAGATTTTGCATTTATCTCAATTGTTTTGGTTACATTTTGTGTTCAGCTTGATCTCCATAAAAAACGGGAACGGGACATTTCCATATTTTACAGAAATCTATTTTTCAATTCAATGGTTTATTTGAGGTAGTGTAACTTTGCAATTTACACAAACATTATAGGAGTATGATATTTGTATCTTAAGATAAGATATCATCTTCGAAATGCATTGGTTCTGCTTTTGATATACATATTGTTTCCAGACAGAAACAGAAACACACCAATCGTTGCACAGATACTGCCCTTTGAAGATTGATCAATACCCAACTTCAAAGCCTGGCGACTCTGCTGTTACATTACCCAAGTGAACACCCAATGTTCGGAGGGCGTATTGAAGCATCTTAATTAATTACAACGTCATTAGAACGTTCTCTTCGAACTCCCATGAACATTCTTTAATGACATTGCGAAAATAGTTTTTTTTCGGATTGCAAAATAAAACATTACTGAACAAAATTGGAAATATGTTAGGTGTTTAATCCAATCTGATAAGTGTATAATCCAAAGTCGTCGTCGGTTTGTGTTTACTGTTTCGGAATCAGCAAAGGTACTGTACCACTGCATATATATGCACTGCACGTTCCTTTGACTTTCACCAAAGACACCAGATAAGTCTTTCTGATCATCTCCAAGGTGTCACATAGAGAGCCTTCGGTTTTGTCCCGCCATATGCCAGGCGTGAAAAGGAGATTTGTGAATCGATAAAGGAACCCGTAGATTTCATAGATGGGTAATTGCGTTTTCATCGAGTGAAGATATGCCATCTTAAAATGTCTAATACTACTTTTAGACACCTCATGATAAGTCAAAACATCCAACTTTAACATATCGTGAGGTCAATGTAATGGCATCATGTGTGAATGTTCAGGCGAATCTGTCTTCATGCTCAGAATGAGGAATGTTGACCCTTTGTGGAAATAAATGAGATGTCAAATAATGATTTTTTGTAAATAATTAGACAGCAGTAATGACATGATATACCACAATAAATCTAACACCAGAAAAACGTTACCTGTCACCATTTTTTCTATTTTTACCAACCAAAACAGTTCTTTCTATTCACTGCATTTAAACCGGCAGATTTTCTGTATAGATGCTGATGAAGTGACGTTAAGACAAGTGCTTTAACATTTTATCAGAAACTCTTACTAGATTATAGCAGAAAACGTCAGAACAGCCTTGAGTAGACAATCTAAAATGACGCAGTGCCTTTATTAGAATATTGCCCCAAAGATTTCGTTATTCACTCCTTTTTTTTTTTACAATACAAGAGGCTCAGGGGGCCTGTATCGCTCACCTGGATACCAACGCAATCATGGCAAAATATTCTCCGTATGAGATCAAGGGAATATGCCAGACCCAAATGCCAATCCTTGTAGCATATCTGTATTAGATTCTTCATGCCCAGCGATTTTATGTATGGTTATGGGGTGGGGATCTCAACTGTTTCCAAGCTTTGACTCAGAAACTAGGTCCCTAGGGTTGTGGCCAGACCCCAGTATCAATTCTAATATCGTGACTGCATTTGTCACTTTTTGCCAAGCATTTGTATATAAAGTTTTGGGGTGGGGATCTCAAACATTTCAAAGTTATGACCCAAGGGTTAAGTCTGCAAGGGTGGGGTAGACCTTGGGTCCAATTCTAATATCATGACTGCATTCGTCTTTTTATGCCCAGCATTTGTATATATAGTTTTGGGGTGGGGATCTCAACCGTTTTAACGTTATGGCCCAGGGACTATGGCTCCAAGGGTGGGGCCAGACCCTATAGCCATCCTGGAAGCAAATGTGCATTCTTCTCTTTATACTCAGCAATTATATACCATGGGTTATATGGTGGGGATCTCAACCATTTCCAAGTAATACACTTTTTTTGGCCAAACCCCTTAGCCCGGGGGGTCAGCCCCACCATTTGTACAATTTTGAATCCCCACCCCCTAGGGATGCTTCCAGTCAAATACGGTTGATATCCACTTCTTAGTTCCAGAGAATAAGTCGCTTTAAACAATATAGCCAAATTGACCTCTTTTGGCCCCGCCCCTCAGCCCCCTGGGGGGTCAGCCCCATCATTTATACGATTTTGAATCCCTGACACCTAGGGATGCTTCCAGTCAAATATGTGTGATATCCACTTCTTAGTTCCAGAGAATAAGTCGCTTTAAACAATATAGCCAAATTGACCTCTGTTGGCCCCGCCCCTCAGCCCCATGGGGGGCCAGCCCCACCATTTGTACAATTTTGAATCCCTGCCTCCCATGAATGCTTACGACCAAATATGATCAATATTGCATAGTTCTACAGTAGAGGTCGATTATAGCAATATAGCAAAATTGACCCCTTTTTGCCCCGCCTCTCAGCCCTCTGGGGGTTCAGCTCCATCATTTGTACAATTTTGAATCCCTGACACCTAGGGATGCTTCCAGTCAAATATGTGTGATATCCACTTCTTAGTTCCAGAGAATAAGTCGCTTTAAACAATATAGCCAAATTAACCTCTTTTGGCCCCGCCCCTCAGCCCCCTGGGGGGTCAGCCCCACCATTTGTACAATTTTGATTCCCCACCACCTAGGGATGCTTCCAGTCAAATACGGTTGATATCCACTTCTTAGTTCCAGAGAATAAGTCGCTTTAAACAATATAGCCAAATTGACCTCCTTTGGCCCCGCCCCTCAGCCCCATGGGGTGTCAGCCCCACCATTTGTACAATTTTGATTCCCCACCACCTAGGGATGCTTCCAGTCAAATATGTGTGATATCCACTTCTTAGTTCCAGAGAAGAAGTCGCTTTAAACAATATAGCCAAATTAACCTCTTTTGGCCCCGCCCCTCAGCCCCCTGGGGGGACAGCCCCATCATTTATACAATTTTGAATCCCTGACACCTAGGGATGCTTCCAGTCAAATATGGTTGATATCCACTTCTTAGTTCCAGAGAAGAAGTCGCTTTAAACAATATAGCCAAATTGACCTCTTTTGGCCCCGCCCCTCAGCCCCATGGGGGGTCAGCCCCACCATTTGTACAATTTTGATTCCCCACCACCTAGGGATGCTTCCAGTCAAATTTAGTTGAATTGTAATCAGTGGTTAAGAAGAAGAAGTCATTTAAAGAAATTGTTGACGGACGGACGACGGACGGACGGACGCATGGACGACGGACGCCACGGTATGGCATAAGAAATGATATTTTCGTCGTTGAAGGTGCTTTCAAAATGTAATAAATAGAAAATACAGTGGTTTTCCCACTGATTACCATATAGCATTTATTTATATAGGTATTGCACTTTACTTATGAAATATTAATGGTATCGACGGAAAACTATTATTATTATCTACTCAAAAGATTTCTTAAAACTATCTGTGCAATTATCGTCTGGCTGGTCATATATGTAACACAATGTACAGGACACGAGTGATGTCATCAGTGTCGGACTCCTTCGAAGACTGGTTACTTCCTGATGATTATCTTTAAAGATACAATTTATTTCTAACAAGGATCTGATTAAATGCACTAGGTAACCGGTATCTTTATCAGAGTAACGTTCAGTCAACACACGTAATTCTCGATTTTCTTTATACCGTAGGAAGTTGTTTTTAGTTTGTACAATGTGTTGACATCAAAATGGGAGACCACTCTGTCTGACATACATCTGCGAAGAACGTTGACACGGTAATTCATGGTCAAAAAATAAAATATTTATCGATAAAAGGTGGAAAAGTTTTAAAAATGTTGAATACCACGTTTAGTCTATAAAACTTTGTTATTCACGACCTCATTTATTCATTTTATTTATTTATTTTATTTATTCATTTATTCTTTGATGTTGTGACTTAAAACACAATTTGATAATTATTCAAAATTATGATTTATGGCTAAAAATTGTTTATGAAACAAGCTGAAGGATATTTTTACAAAACTACTGCTGTAGGATTTTGGCCTATATTAAATGAATGTTAAATGTTTATCAAAGTTTATGTATACTTATCTACAGTGTAATTGGTCTAATCTTACGTCATGTCTCGTAATGTACTTGATTCTTAACAATGTACAGCTGATTTTACAGACACATTCTATTGAAAAGAATCTTTATCAAACAAACGTTTTGTTTGCATACTCATAAATCAAGTTTTATTTGTATTTGACAAGCACAGAAATATCAGATGTTTGACAATCACTGCAATCTGCATTACAGAACAATCGTGTAGACAAAAAAATAATGTAAATAACCTAAAAATTCACAGAATATGATAGAATATTTTGGATCATAATGTAACAGCAAAAAATATGAGTTAAAGGTTAAATTGACACAAAACACAGTCTTGGCAGTATTCGAATATGTATTTAATTAATTTGCGACTTCAATACTGGACATTTGCATACCTATTTATCATGATTTTCTTTGATCATCCACCTGGCACTCTAACACGTGACATTGTATGCACACCTGTATTTTTCGATGCGTGTATATCCACTTCCACATGTGGATAACATTGTCGTTCCAAACTATATTTATTTTGAACATTCCAACCGTCATTTTGAAACAGCATTAATTGTATATTATTTCTATACTAGTATGTTTAATAAGATAATAGTACCCCAGCTGATGCATGTGTCATAATATTCTAGTAGACATACTTTGTTATTTATGCTTAGCAATTTGCACTTCAGTTTCACAGGGACCGGCATCCTCGATATCCAGGGGTTACGCTCACCTTCGCCCTCTACACCCCTGGGATATGTCATAACAAAACTGAAGGTACGAAGATAGCTATTTGATTGGTCTCAGGTAAAAAAACAACTTGACCAATCGCTAGGCTGATACCTGTTCTTTGAAGATTACAAAGGACGTCAAAGCCTGTCGATTTTTACCGTTACGTGACCGCGAGATTATTTTGATGTACATCAAAGGATCGAACTAGCCTTCTTGTCTCATCAACAAGGTGGCGCACACAGAGCCTTCAATTTTACTGTGACATATTCCAGGGTGTAAAGAGCGAAGGTGAGCGTAACCCCTGGATATCGAGGATAAGGGACCTGATAATTCCCATGTGCTAAGTTTCAGCTTGTGTTTCATGTGTTACAATATCCTAGTGAGAAAATAGAGTTTTTCGTATTATTAACGACACTTTGGTTTATCCATTATAAATCCAATTAAAGAAGACAATCATAACTTTGTCGGCCTTTTTATATAAACGACATCAGCATTGATTTAGTATACATAGAGGCCGTCAAGGTTCCGGAACGGTCCAAAAAAAATGCATCTTTTCAATAGCCTACTAAAGTGCCTTTGGTATTTCAATACTTCCCAAGAGTCATTACGTAGGGTCTTATTACGTGTTGACTCAATTAGGTAGTAAAGTAATACCTCAGCATCTCGTGGTATTTTTTTCTGCCCCACCAACTGAGACCGATTGTGGCATTCAAATCTTGCTTGCATGTTAAAAAAACCGAAGTCATTGTACAAACAAAACCAAATAGTTTCACAAAATATCTGTCTAAACGCAAATTGAAGATCGGCCTAGGGTTCAAATTTGATCGTAGGTCATTTTTCAACCTTTTGTAGATGGGAGCATTATGCGTCTAATATTAGTAAACACTATCATGCTATGCACATTTTGATAATTAAAAAAACCCGATAAATACAGTTCTTAATTGTCATCATTCTCATCTTTTGCCAATAGTGTTTCCATGTGTACTGACATTGAATTCGGAACCTCTTACGTGTCAGCCGATAGTTTTTTAATGGTTAAACTCCATCAACTACAAAGTCGACAACAACAGGGGGGAAATTTGGTGACGAAGATGTCAGTGACGAAAAGAAATGGAGCATAATACATGAACACATCGTTCAAGTGTAAACGTTAAAACCCATCTGATAGTATATAAATATCTATCTCAAAGCACCATGCCTGGTAGTATTGCATACCAGGAATTGTGCTTTGAGATTGATATATACTCACTGTCAGATGGACTTAACTTTTATTCTTGAACAATGTGTTCAAATGAGCATTTCTATTATGTACTGTTTCTTTTTCCGTATATTTCATTGACGCATTCCAAGTACAATAGAAGTACATTCATTGTAATCATTTTAGGACATCGCAATTTAAAGACGTCCGCATTATGTGTACTTTGTTTATGACGTCATTATTTTTATGTCTTAAGTATGTGTAGTCTATTCATGACGTCACAATTCAAATAAATTCAAATCGCCTATAGAACCCCTTTATATGGGCGAAAGTACTAGCGAGATTTAGTCTTCGGTGTTTTGTTTCATTTCTATTTTTACGATCATATTGGCGTTTAAAATTTGACCAATATCTGTATGATATTATATAATGACCGACTTCAAAACTAGCAGCTTTCACCCTTCACATGGTTTATTATACATATATATTTAAATGGCATTTTTTTAATGTAATATATTATTTTCTTGTTAACGAAGATTGTTGTATTTGGTTTTTGCTTTAGTTTTACACATAGTTCACACAAGAGTAATTACAAATATTCCTTTATTTGTTAGTTATGTTACGCGAGTATTACGTTAAAATTAGAATGTTTTTGCACCGGCATGTTGACGCATTGGTACGCGTTATAGCGGGACAATCTACTCTAACCGTCGTAGGAATATATAAAGGGAGAGACAATGCTCGACCCATTGTGCTTTTTGAAGGTCACTGATTTGTTTAACAGTAACCTCACATTGTTATTGTTCCCATAGCTCACAAATCTGAAGACAATTGCTTACAAATTCTTCATTTAAAATAATTGATGTGTGACTATAATCGTCGCATTGTTCTCTACGTTGTGCACAACCATTTAAACCAAGGAATGGGTCCGTAAGTTCAGGACAACATGATACGTATCTTGATAGATAAAACAGACCATTGAAATGTGTAATAACCGTTGTTTGTAAGCACGTAGAACTAGGCAACCGTGTACGTGAATAGTACCACTCGTTGACGTCTACCCTCATCTGGTGAGATAATGGTAAGTGTTTATTGTGACCCCTATGGTCAGTCTATACACCTGTCGTATATGTTAAGCTTCCTCCATGTCTAAGATGAAAGTTTATTAGAGGACACAATGCATGTACTTTTCCTGATGGCATGACATGGTGAACATCCTGCGAGGGTCTATCCCGAGTATTATATCGGCCCTGTGTAACGTTTCCTCTCCAGTTTAATTGTTTATACGCTTGTATATCGTAGCTATATAATACTTAAACGTGTTTATAAGACATCTTAATAACGATAAGCATACTACCTCTTGAATAATAAGTAATTAACATGGAATGTTATGTTCAAGTGAACGTTAAAAACATCAAAATGCTTTATTCATGTAGATAGTAGACAAAAGGCTAACATGTTTTGAAAATGTAAGTGTAACATGATCATAACAGAAGTAATAATAAACTATGGTGTGAATCCATTCGAGCTGAAATGCTGTCCTTTTAACATGGGTTATGTTTGTTTTTATACCTACAGGAGGACCTATCCAGTGATCAGGTAGCAGGTAAGATATTGCGCTTTTGTCCTAAAAAAAAGTCTTTTCATTTCGTTACCTTAACCTAGTTTTAATTCTAAAAATATCCTTCCACATACAGAGTATGATTATATAAATACAATAATATTTTGAGTATTTTGTTCACAGTTTTGTGTATTGATAAACACTGGTCGTGAATATGACGTCATCAATTTGTGTTGACATATGTGTAATGTTTGACTTCATTGTAAAATAAGCCCTATTGTCACTACAATAACTTGTACAGAAAACCATTGTTGGTCAATTTGTAAATGCTGCATCGCACGCATGCATGACAATTACAACATTTGTTCATGAATATTTTCTTCCCTTGGCCATCTTAGACATTTTGGTTTAATATATGTACAACAGTTTAAAAATACATTAAGTAGAAATCTCATTGAAAGAGGCACGTGAAAGTGATCTGGGTGCGTTATATTATGTAAATAAATATTCACATACTACATGTAATCAATAACAAGGAGGTTTACTTCAATCTATAAGTTGATCATTTTGGTTGCCGGTTTCAAAACAACTATTTGTAATACCATAGATATATACTGTATCATAACAAAAATGTATACGTGTTTCTGATATTGTTTTAACTTTTCAAATATACACCGGACAACGAGAACATGATGCATCATAGTATATACGTGTATTGTGTCCATATCTGTCTTACGCAGACCAAGGATGCTATATATATCATGCTAATACAGTAATTACAAAAGAGCATAATCACGAGATGGCATCTAGCTAGCGAAATTTATTTTGACAGTTAGACTTCAGTGTGGAATATAAGACTTAAGATATTAAAAAGCTGTAAAATAAACATGAGGGAATATACTGTTGATTGTTTCTGATTGAAATGTTAACGTATTTAGTTTCAACACTACTGCATTGTAATTAAACACATTACGATTTAAATAACAGAAAAAAAAAACATTTTTAACGTTGGCTAATGTGTAATGTTTATCAGTATGGACCCAGCCTTGGTTGTGTGATCCTGCATATTTGTGTGTCCTAACGATTGAGTTGCGTCAATTTTAATAAGCAAATGACGTCAAAGAATAACGTAAAGGTTTTTATTCAAATATTGTTGCTTATGTATCAGCATTTATGCGTTCCCAGTTCTGGCAGTCGGATTGGGTACCTATATGGGTGACAATACTTTTACCAAATAGAAGTACAGTATTTCTTTCAATACTATATAAAAATATTTCCGGATTTTATCTTTTGAGCAAGATATTAACACTAGATATCTTGGCTGCAATAGCATAATATTGTCATATTTGGTTTTCAGAGTTTAAAGAGGCTTTTGATCTCTTTGACAAAGATGGAGACGGGAAAGTGTCTGCAAAGGAGCTAGGAACAGTAATGAAATCCCTTGGACAAAACCCAACAGAAAAGGAACTTGTCGATATGATAAATGAAGTTGATTCCGATGGTAAAGAAAACAAACAACATAATCTCTTATTTATATAGGGATGTCAGGATGTGGTTGGTTTAAACGAATTTTTCCTCATAGTTAGAGAAACTGTGTTATATTGTGATATCTATTACGATAGGGCTAGTAAAAGAGAATTTGTCTTCATGGTGAAGCAAGCTGTTTTAAATTGAGATGCCAGGATGGGGTTGGTATACTTGAATTTGTCTTCATGGTGAAGCGAGCTGTTTTAAATTGAGATGTCAGGATTGGGTTGGTATTAGAGAATTTATTATAATAGTGAGATGATCTGTTTTAAATTGAGATGTCAGGATAGAGTTAGTATAAGAGAATTTGTCTTCATGGTTAGACTATCTGTTGTTTATTGAATTGACACAATGATGTTTGTATAAGAGAATTTGTCATCAAAGTGAGATAATCTGTTTTATATTGGGATGTCACGATGTAGCTGGTGTTTGCGAATTTTTCATCATGTAGGGACATTTGCTTTTTTATCGAGATGACACATTGAGGTTGGTATAAACGAATTTGTCACCAAATTGAGAGAACCGTTTTTATATTGAGATGACACAAAGAGTTAGTTTGCCATCATATTTTCGATTACGTTTGTAACATATATAGATAAAATATGATGTAATTGATGACTATAAATTATACATAAACATATTGATTGAGCAAGTAATCCACCGTCGATGCATCGACTAAACTGAAAAATCGACATTGACATTATTTTTAATTTACTGCATGTGAACGTTTCGTTAACGATCTTTAGATTTCATAAGTTGCTTTGTTTAACTTGACAATTACATATATACATGTCACTAAAGCTTACCTTACTGTATTTGTTACAAGTTAATTGGTCTCAGCATTTCAGGAGTATATCTGTCTTTTACATTCTATAATGACATAGTGTTGACTATAGTAAAACCAACACTTACATGTTGGGTGCCGTCAATAAATCAGAAAACGGTTATCTTTCTGGAATGCCTGGTCTTTCTCCCTTTGAAGTTTCAAGGAATTCTATGTGTGTCTTTCCTTACTCATGTTTTTCCCTGGTGTTTTTTCCCGATTCCTACTTCAAATCACTTTTCAACTGACACTCAGGTATTTTCCTGATGATATTTTCATTTATCTAAATAAAAACTAAATTTATTCTTTGCTCACAGGAAATGGTACTATCGAATTCGAAGAATTCCTGAACATGATGCGAGTAAAAATGAACTGTGTGGACCATCAGGATGAGTTACACCAATCATTTAAGGTGTTCGACAAAGATGGGGATGGAAGCATCACGAAGGAAGAACTGAGGTCAGTAATGACCACTCTTGGTGAAAATCTAACAGATGCTGAGCTAGACTCCATGATGGCGGAAGCAGATCTAGATGGGGATGGCAGAATAGATTTCAATGGTTTGTTTACATAAAAGAGAATTGCATGAAGAAAATGATTATTTGTTCCCATTGGCCTGACATCGTTAACATTTATATTCAATGCAGAACAGAAACCTTGAATTTGATTTACTTTATTATCAGAAGCAAAATAATTCTTTAAAAAAGTCAGTCATCATTGTAAAGTAGATATATAATATGGATAGACTACAGTTCAGTAACATGCATTTGTTCCATATGATTGAAACAAATCACACTAACACCCCCACCCCTAAACGCTCAAACAAGACCCACAAAATAACCCCGAAAAAGATAGAAACAAAACAACATCGAAATAAAATATAATAATTAAATAAATAAATTAAATAAACCTGTAGAATATGTCGAGGCAAAGCAAGAAGGAAGGATGTAGACAATGCTATCACTAAATCTTTTTATCTTATGTACCGTTTTCAAACGGATACAATTTTATAGGTATAGGCTATCAAACACGAAGGCATAAACACATAAGGAGATTAAGCCAGGTGGCATAGGACTAGTAGTTAGCGCCTGATAAGGAAGCTCCTGCAAATGCCTCAAAATTGTATTGATTAATGTATATGCTTATTGTATTAATTGAATATATACATGTACTTTAAAGCGCTTTAGAGAGGCTTATGTTAGCTAGATTGGGCGCTATATCAAATGCTGTATATGATTATTATTCATATGGTAACTTCTGTTTGCATTACAGAATTCAAATTCATGATGACACATCAATGAAGAAGCACGCTGTGACTATTGACACCTTTGTCAAGTTTTTGCATACTCATAGATACAGATTAGATGTATTCATGAGTCAATTACATATTGTACAGGTTTTATTTTTAAATATATTGTTATATGACAACCACATGATATATACAAATATCGATTGCTTGTTGTAAACAAACAAAATGCTCATTTTATTGTTTTTTTAAAAATTAAACGTTATTTATTTTACGAAGAAACATAAAACAAATTCACATATTAATCACCTTCATTTGCCGGATGGTATCGTGAAGGGAGTCTTAAAGTGGGAAGAAACCAGCGAACCAGAAGAAAACCCACGCGATCCGGCAGGTGACCCAATACATTTTGATGTTCGATCGGGAAATTTCATTTATTTGTGAATATAAGTGCTTATATGTTTGTTTCACTATTTATAAAACCATACAGATTTTTATCATACTAAGCATTAAAAATAACCAATACTCAAGTTTCGTTGATGTTATTCTTTCGCTGTAATATATTTTACTATTGCAAAAAATATCAAGTAGTAAAAGTATAAACGCTCTTTTTTCTGAACGTTTTCTTTAGGTTGGAAAATATGAATTGTAAAAAGATTCATATAGCACGACCAATAAGTGTTTATATATGACGTTTCAATGACTAGTACGGTATGTTCTCTGTCACCTTCATCAGACAAATGACCAGTGAAGCATATGTACACAAAGGTTTACAATGTGTACGCGTATTCCACATAAGTGTGTACATACCAATTACTGGTCATTTGTCTGATATAGATGACAGAGTATATACCGTACTAGTCATTGAAACGTCACATATAAACACTTATTGGTTGTGCTACATGAATCTTTTCACAATAAAAAAGCTTTGTCCATCTGCAGGCAGAACATTAGAAAATATCACTGTAGTTTTTCATACATGCAGTAAGCTCACGTAAATTCCATGTTAGATATCACTGTAATGGCAATTTGAAAAAGGAACTACCGCTGATAAGCTATCTCAAAGATTGAGCTACCGTAATTTTAACAAAGGTTCCGGGTTTGAATCCAAGTCTGTCTTCTTTTCGCCTGTTTCACAAGGCGTTGATTTCCTTTCCAAAATGATTAATTCAAACTGTTGTCGTACAGGTAATACAATCCTATTTATAGTGTTTTACTGACGAATTGAGACCCTCAAAATCTGGATAATTAGTTGGTCGCCAGGATCATCATTTCACCAACATTCCAATACTTCGAATAGGCGGCACTAGAGTAGCGAATAAACTGTGACATACAAATTCACAAGCAGCGAGATTGGTTTTTTACTACCAAGGAAGTGAAAGTTAATGATTGTAAAGTTAAACTCAAACGTTTGGCATAAGCCTTAGCTTCGGCTGATTCTTATTGAAGAAGTTTGTTTTGTGTATATTGACTTGCATTCAGCCGCTTTCGTTGTTTTTACCTACACCATGACCAACATGGACGACATACGAAAATGCAGGTTGATGATGAGTGCGGACTAGTTTAATGGTCGCAATCATGATCTCATAGCAATGTCTTTACGTAATATGAAGTTCGATTTTATGTTTTTGATTATGCTCATTACTAATCTTTGTTTCTGTTTGCTAATACCAAAGTTCTTGAGTTAGATTTACATGACGGGTATCAACAATGAAAAACAAAACGTTTACTCTTCCGAAACACCTGGTCTCATTCTGTATGCATTTGTTCAAGGGTTGCCATGTTATGATTTCTGTTATTCATATTTTGTCCTAGTTTTATCAATTTTAGTTCAATTTACGGTTTTGTTGTCACATCGGTATGTTTTTATACGCCCGTCGAAGACGGGGACGTATTATGTTATCACGTGAGCGGGCGGGCGGGCGG